AGTAACATACACACAAGTCTTGCTAGCTTAAGTAGTCAACCAAATGAAAAGAAAGAAACGAGATTCCATGACTTGCGTGAATGACTTAGTGTGTATGCACGATTGATATTCAAGTCACATTGAACAGATCAGAGACCAATGCGTGCTTTGAAACACGCAATATATAGATACTAGACCACCCAAAATGAATGAGATATTGGTCTTTCCCAATTCTCAACATCTTCAGGATCTTCCAGAATTCTATGCATGAGACATCCCTTTCATGTGTAGCCCAGATGCTTCTACCGAAAGAATGCATCACCCACTTTTGATGATCTTGCTGCACCATATGTACAGCCATATCCTTAAGAATGGCTCTTCAGTCAATCATATGATTTGTGTGTATTCACACAGACGTGCTTCTCACCACTGACTGCGATACGTATGCTTTTCACCTTCCCATTACTTTTCATTTCCGTCATAATACCAGAAAGATTCCAAGGCCAGATATTGGATTCCACTATACACACCATCAACCATTGTCAAGGTAAGATTTGACATCAATACTCTGATTGTTGTCCTTCACCCTTGGCCAGTGCTTGTTACTACTTTGGCACTTGTTACTCCTATCTGAACTTGTGAATTTTAAAAAATGGTTTCAAGTCCTCAAAGCGGCGATCCTCATTGGGGAACTGGTCCCCCTAGCGACAACCTACGCTTGAGCCATGCACAAAGTGAACGGCGGTACTACAATTCAAATACTTATTCACCACCATCACCCTCTTCTTCCACAGTCAATCCTTTGTATCCAACAATACAACAAAGTAACTTGCTCTCTCTAAATCCTCTTGCAACGTCCTTTAAAGTTGCAGAAACTCCATCATTTTCTCACCCACCTCGTTCATTTCCATCTTGTCTACTTCCTTCTCCACCTGCCTTTGTTGATAAATCACCTTTTATTTATCAACAACAGATCGTAGATCGATAACAGCAAATCCTTGTTTCAATAAACAAGTGGAACGCACCTTTCACTGAGACCATGGCATCCTTTAATTTGCCCACTGGTCAGCCAGCTCCAAATGCATTCCAATATAACAACAACCCACATGGCTTTCCACCATCTCTGGCAAACCTTCAAAATACAAGTCAGGATTCAGCAAATTCAAACGATTCCTTCCGAACACAGGTACCACTCCCATGGAACCTGCCATCCGACTATGAGGATAGTGGTGGGGTTGAGATGTGCGATCCAAGTCCTTTTGCTGAGCCTCCACCATTTGTGGCACCTGATTTTAGCAACGGCCGCGCTCAGTTTCAACCATTCGCCAATCAAAATTCCATGGTGAACGGTGCTTCTGTTGGAGCTTATGGTCATGAGAATGGATACCAGATGCAACAACAGCAAGCTTATCAACAAGAAAACTTTGCTATGGGGTTGAATGGTACGAACGGCATGCATGGCATGAATTCATTCAGTGGTGCTAACAATGCATATCAATCACCACCTTACAATGGCCAAATCGGAGGTCTTCCAAACCCTCAAATGGGCATCGGTCACACTGGAAATTTGCAGCATCAACACCAAAATCAATTCAGTTTCAATGGGCATGGTGGTCCTCTAACCCAACCTAACTTCCAACAGCAGAACATGGGCCTGCGACCACAATTACCACAAATTGCTACTCAATTTCCTACAAATCCTTACAGTCCTCGATACAACCAGACCTACTCTGCTCCACCAATCGGAATGAATCCAGCGCAGTTCTACAACAATGGTGGCGGTGGCAATTATCAAGGTCCAAATTCTACACCAAGTTCAGCCTCGCGTATGGTGTCCAACTTGAAATTTAGTAACCTCAGCCTTGGCGGCATGAGTCCGAATGGTGTCGGCCCGAACAGCATTCAGAACAATGGTTACGGCCATGGCAGCGGAGTCGGCAATATCGGGAATACTGCTGGCCTTGGCCACAATGGTTCAGAACAGAATCGTTCTAATGGAAGTTTCTCGGCTGTAGCCAACAATAATAATATGGCTGCCAATGCTCGCAACGCACAGTATTCCTCGCTTGCATCTGTTGGTAACATTCATCACCCGCTTCCTCCAAAGCCACAATTTCAAGCGCAAAACACCCATGTTTCCAAACCCAATACTGGCGACCAGCCTTACGCAGCGACTAGCAACAATCCTCGATCTGTTATTCATACTCCTCAACAGCAAAAGCGAAGCCTTCAAAGTGAGGAAAGTGAGCCAAGTCAAGAGAGCAGCAACGGCATCCAATCACCTGTATCATCCAACGGTCGCTCACTGTCTGCTGCCATTCCTGCTTCCGAGCCGAGACCTAAATTCACACCCTTGCTTCGATCTAATCGCGGCACATCCATCACCGCATCTGTAGATCGTGCTCAGCACATAAACGATTGGGTACAAAATACACCGACTCGTGGAAGTGTTTCGCGCCAAAACTCTGTCACAAGTGAGAATTTTGCTGAAATTGACAATACTCCTACGATGCCGAACTATGATGCTGGTAGAGATCATCGTCCAATCAATGGCTCCCACGACGCCATCCCAGGTGGCTTCACCCCACGCGCTCTTAGCGTTAATCCCTTCAATCCTATCACCACACTTGCTCCTTTCAGCCCAAATTCTCGTTACGGAGATGCTGGTGGTATGAGCCCCTTGCTTCGCGAGTTGACCAGAAATGGTACTGTTACGCCAACTGCCGAAGAAGCTCTTGACATGCGATTCATGCCCTTCGAGGAGTACTGCCGTCAAGCTAAGCCTGTGCAATATGGTGTTATGCGAATCAAAAACGTAAGTCATTGTCGATGATGTTAAAACTTAATTACTAACTCCTTCAAAGATTCCATATGGTGTGACGAGACAAGAGATTCTTGCATTTCTCGGCCGCAACGCAAAGATTGCCGCCTCGAATGACCACGAGCCCATCCATATTATAATGGAGCGTGTCACCAGCAAGACACTTGACGCCTATGTTGAGTTTATCAGCTTCTCTGAGGCTTCAAATGCAATTACGCGTTTCGATATGAATCGTATGGGCGGCAGAGGTGGCCGTCTTGGGCAGCGCCACGTTGAAGTCGAGTTGTCTTCCCAGGAAGAGTTGATGAAGCAGCTCTTTCCGAAAGCCAAGAACGTTGAGTGGCACGGAAACAAACCCACGATCATTGAACGTGATGAGAATGACAAGTACAACTCTGGTTTCCAGGGGTTCGTTAGCCGTGAAGAGTTGGTTATGCTGGTTAAGCATGTTGAGTCCCCACAACGTGTAAGTAATCACAAGTCTGCCTGAGTGATTCGGAATCATACTGATGTTAAACAGTCCCCATTCTCTAAAGATTGTCCCCAACGACCATTTGAATGCCTTGTCAGCACCTTGATCAAGTTTCCTTGGGCAATGGTCAACCACGTTACTTGCCAAGATCGTGAGCTATTGTACAAAGCCACGATGCAATTGCTTGGGTTGCTTGTTGAACGTGTCGACAACAATGATGATCCAGTCAATCTCAATGCACAATTGTTGAAGAGAGTTTGGCGTACTGCTCTTAAGTGCGAAGGTTTCAGTCCCTGTATGAAAGACAACATTGTTTTCAAGATGAAGATTGATCCTACAACCGCGTTTGAGTGTGGCGTTCCACCACAAGCTGATCTCTGGAGCAATGTATGGACCATTGGACCAAGAAAGGATGTTGCGTATGATCTCGTTCAGGTAAGTCTCTAGAGAAATCTTGATTAATTGAGAGCACAGACTAAGCAACCATAGTACTATGTCAGGCTTATTCATGATGCAACTACTGAGAAGAAGCAACTCACCTTGGCCGAGAAGGCTGCAGCCAGAGCCGAAGAGGTTCCTCGCCTTCCAAGTCTCTTCGGAAACCTTGATACGCTTGTTGATTACACCAATTGCCTTGATTTGACTCTTGCTGAACTTGCTGTGAAGGAGTGGGCTGCATTCGAGATAGCAATTCGACGAGCACTTACTCCAGCTTTGGAGGCCGGGCCATCTAACTGATAGAATCGTACCTACCAAGCAGTTGATACTTCCTAATCTCTAATTCCAGATACCACTTCGCATTTGTTTTCAATTCTCGAACATAATCTGTCGAACTTTTTAGGCATTTCACAACATTCTCGTCAGGTAAGCCTGACATCTGGATAGTTTCGTTCTTCGAATCTTCCCGGAAATTATAACAGCTGGACTTGAATTTTCTTGAAATCCTCGATTGTTGATATTTTCTACTTTCCTCATATTACACCTGTCTACCACCAACTTGATGAATCCTGAAGCCATTCTCGAAATCATCAAAATATCGTCATATCATTGAAGGAACAGCATTGTTGATATCCTTCTATTCGCATCCTGAAGGGTCTTACTATCGAGAGAAGTCCGGCACGTTTGGTCTCACCTGGAGCGTCAAATTTTACATGACCTATTCTTGCATACTTTTCTCATGACGACAGCTATCGATGCTTTGGTGATTTGCGTGATCATTCGAAGGAATTTGAGTTTTCAAAGTCATTTGATTGGGATATTCGATTTGAGATTATGATGATTTGGGTCAAGTTTCTTCATTGGCTGCTTCTCTTCTCGAGGTCATTTTAATGACATCTTGATATTTGCAGCTCTGTAGTTGTCCATTCAGATAGTACAAATCCAACACTATAAGTTTTCCACAATGTGCAACTACCAATAATGAATTTCATATCTCTATGTGAGGAAGATGTAAGTAAAGAGCGTATTTGATAATATTAGATGCAAGTCGGAAGTAAATCTAGATATCCGACGGTTGGAAGACATTGGATGAGTATCATCATCTGCATGAGATGAGAGAAAGGAAAGGAAAGGAAAAGGGATATGTGAAAGTTCATTGAGATGTCTCGGAATATCTTCGGCCACTAAGCATCCAAGCCCTTCGCTTCACCACCCAATGATTTCATGATCCATACATTCCCCCACCAATTCTTCACCCCTCCATCACATGAGAGACACAAGAGAGTTAAAATGTCTCTACCTCAATCTTTCATCAGCAAGAAGAAGCTGATATTAAGCAAGCTTGCTGTTCCTACAGATGAATACGATGACCTATCTCCCAAAGGGTCCGTGGATGAAGGCATTCGAGAATTAATAGATGAAATAAATTCTCTTGAAGGGTGTGTCACGACTAGTAGTTGTGCTGGGCGAGTGAGCGTATTTTTGGAAGGGAAGAAGAATTCTGACGATGGAGTTAAATCTCAAATTCAAGACGAGGCTGGTATGGATGGTATTCCGGATGTGAGAGCTGAGAAAACTGCCGGGTTTGGTGGAAAGGGAGGGGGTGGGAAATGGTTATATGTGTCTCACGACGCAATTGAAGACGAGGCACTGAGCAGGCGAGAGAATGAAGGAACTCTTTGTGAACTGCTGGGAATGCGGGCGAATAATGCCGGTTCTATGATCCCTCTCCCGAAGAGCAACGAAAGAGATTTACGGCATATTCATTTTAAATTTGAGCCCATGGCATGTTACTTAGACTACTCTGTTCTTGAGTTCTAAATGCTGACGTTCAAGTAGATCCTACATGTCCTTACTGCATCTTTGGAGCAAGCGCAAAAAGTGTTATCAGCTGCACTACAAGCGGGTTTCCGAGAAAGTGGTGCATTGAACCTGATATCTACCACATCCGAGCCAGCAACTCCAATGGTAGGAATAAGATGCATGGGTCTGACGCTTGAATCATTAGTTGGTGTATATCACGAGGCTTTTGATCAAGGAGTTTGCCTTGTCGATAACGGGCAGTTAGGTACGTTGATGAGAATTTCTAATGAGAGATTTAAAGAGAACACGAAAAGGATCGAGAGATTCAGAGTGTTATTGAACGAGGCAATGAATCCTGTGGAGAAGAAAAAGCTAGGAGAAAATGGGGAGGATTGGGAGGATCCTCAGGCTAGAAAGGAGCGGAAGCGTGCGGAAGGGTTGAGGAGAGCCCAGGAACTGAAGGAAGCAAAAGTGAGGAGTGGGATATCTGAGAACCAGGACTCGGGAGAGCTTCCAGTGGACCCAACACCTGTAGATTATTGCGAGACTTGAATCTGATGCATTAATACTTCACATAGTCTATGACAGTGTACCCAAACTTCCACGCCATGCATTATTTCTGTTACACATATTCTATACACGGTGGGCCCTTGAACACCTTCGTTGGTTTCTTTCCATCATTTCGCCCTTTATTCGATATTTGTTATCCGTCTTCCTTCCCATCTCTCCTCAAATAGTCATACTTTCCTTATCTAACAATACCCTCGACCCATTTACCCTCCAACCTCCTCACCTCTTGTCTGAAAGCCTCTACCTCTTTGTAACAATCCAACGGCCTCCTGTCATTATCCCTCAAACACTTTACCACCGCACTCTTTGCATTCTCAACTCCCTCATCTAATTCCTGTACCTTCTTCCTCTGTTCCAACTTCTTCCTCAAGCCCTCCACATCTTTCTGAACCGCATCTCTGCCCAATTTTCTTAAGCTATCACCTGCAGATTTCTCCTCAGATGGGGGCGAAGACTCCTCGGTGGAGAGTTTGGCGGTTAACTCTTCGAAGTCTTTGCTGGCGCGCTCTTGGAGTTTCTTGAGTTCGCTGGCGACGCGGGCTTGGATGTGAAGCTCGAGAGTTTTGGCACGAGTAGAATCGGACTTTTGAAGTATGTTAGATTGGTGTTCTCAAACCTAGAGATCTGGGAGAGAGTCTTACCTCAGAACTCGATTGCAAAGAATCTATGAGTTGTTCCGAGAACCTCACAGGTGTTTCACTACCGGATACTATTAGAGCTTGCTTGAAGGAAGATGTATACATTATTGGGAAGAATTACCTAGACCATACTTGTGCCTTGGGAGGTTCCTCAGGTTTCGAAGCTCCAGATCCCATATTGACTGGTGTAGGAAGAATCAATTGCTTGAAAGGTATAATTTACAATTGTGACCTCACGAGCTTGGAATTTCTTAAGGCTCGCTGAAAATCGGAATGTTTTGAGCCTTATGGCCTCATATCGGCGCTGCGTTTATCCATGGCCCGAGCCACATTTGAGGCGTCAGTGGCTGAAGTGAAGCCAGCATATTTTGGATCTCAATCTGGATGTCCACACGAGGATGTCCACACGAGGATGATCAATTCCAATAAACTCAACGATCAACCGAATTAAGCTTCACCTACATGTGCATCATCGTTTCCTGACGGGAGGAACAAAAAAAAGGTTAAAATTTAGGTCTATCTATTTGATATGATGATCTGATAAAGCATACTCTCCTGATCTTGTACCCAAATCATGAGATTTCAATCCTAGAGTCTCTTACCCAGGACGCCTATTCATCTCTTCTAATAAAGCAAGACCCAGATCTTGTAAGATTTCATGGGTTATCGATTCTTTTATTTCCACTTTGCTCCTTTGGGCGGTTTCGAAACTAACGGACGTTTCTGTTTGATAGGCTTGGCGCATCCTGGTGTCTACCTTGAGATGATACTTTGAGATACTCGGATCCTCGGGTTTCGGTCGGCGGTTGTGGAATTGGTAAGTGGCGGTTTTATAACATATTGCAAGCATGTTGAAAGATTCAAGGGGGTTCTTTTACAGATCTTACCGTCGTTTGCTCGAGGTTTCGATTAAGCATCTTCTTGGGGGTATCCATCGAAAAGGTTAAGGATCTTACTGCGATACTACTTTACCCTTACATGCATGCACCAACCTTCAATTGAAACGGAAGATCCAATAGAGTAGATGTAGTCAAGGATTCTTGCCGTACTCCGTCGCCAGCAAGGAGTGATTCAATGCAGACTCGGTCCCTTCACTGTTCTCCGAAGGCTTGATCTGATATGAGCTTTTTGACTATGATGATATGATGGCGCATGAACTAGTTTCCAATTGATGACAGCCATGACGACCTGGATGCTGTATGCAGAACGACATTTGATGAACACCCGCGCGAGTGTTAACTAAAGCATATGGCGTATTCCACACACCCTCGGATACGAACCGAATTACGAATTTCATGGAAGCTTCGAACAGTTTAACCAACGGCTGCTAACAAATCTCCACGGACGAAAGCACTCACAGACTTAAGAACTCGTTGGTCCCATGGAAGAAGTGAGTCCAAGCATGCATCAATGATAACCAGCGGCTATCCTATCGGCGGTATACATCTACTTCAAGCTTTGACGTCTATCAATCTACTCCCCTGGAAGTGTTTCGTCTTGGCCTTTCATTTTATCTTTCGTCTCTTCTCTGACAACGGCGATATTTCCGTGGGCGGTTCGCAAAGATCTATCGTGATATATAGATGATCTAAATGATATAAATCTGACCATCTCATTCATCTCTTTGCATCCTTTCTCCTTCTTTACCCCTGACAGAAACCCCTGAGTGGATCACGAACAACGGTGCGTCTTGGTTTCAAAACATTGGAGCCAATTGGAATCAGTTGTGACTGGCTGTGCTGTCGGTTATGTTACCAGTCTTTACCTGGCTCACTTCTTACCCTCGAGCCATCCCTTTCTATTATCCAATGATTCTTGGTCTTTGTCATCAGCCACAATTAATCGGAGATCAAAGCATCCAAACGTTCTTCTTTTGCTCTCTTTCTCTCTTTCTCTCTTTCTCTCCCTTGTCAACCCCCTTGAACCTTTACTTACTTGCTTTTGGCCAGTTCCAACTTCCAACGTGCAAATCCGAACAACTTTATCAATCTCCACTTGAAACCACGAGAGGTAATGCTTATATTCATTAAATGACAGGCCCAGATTCGGTCCCATTCCGAACTGCCCAAGACTATTTTCAACGCCATTATGGATTCGACTGGCATGATCCGCTGCGGCTATCTCATTTTATATCCAAAATGCTGATGGATGACGGTCCAGGGATTGGGTGTGAATGGGCCACTCTTTCTCAATTCCTTTGGCAGTTTTGGCTTGTTAGGACTCAGGAACGAGATCAATCGATAGAGTTTTTATACAACGTAACAAAGGAAGATCGATGCAATATTAGGCGAAGCCAGATCTTGGTGTTAGCATTGCTATTGGTATTGATACTCGCATATTCGCATATTCGCATAGCCGTATCTGCATCCACCATCTCTCTTCCTTTTTTATTCTGGGTCTCTCTTTTTATCCCTTCCTCTCTCGTACACAGACTTCTTGTGTACGAAGTATTAATGCATTTTCTACTGATTGGTGACATGCCCCATTTTTATATTCGGACAGGTCGGATTTGATGATATTCACCTAGAATCTAGCTTTTCTTCACTCGTAACCCATTCCTTGCTTCACTTGCCAACTCGTACTCGGACACTCACCACTCACCACTCACCACTCACCACTCACCACTCACCACTCACCACTCACCACTCACCACTCACCCCTCACCCCTCACTCAATCTTGGTTTCATCACCGCCATTGTCACTCCGTTGACGAAGAGGGCGAAATGCGATCTCTTCCTTATCTCCTCATCTAATACGACGACAGCAGGGCTTTTCGTTTCGAAATTCGAAGCTATTCACACCAATGTCCTGACCAACCCTGCAGCGATTCTGACTCCGTTTTATTTACGACGAGGCTTCGTTTCCTATTTGGATGGAATTTTATATTGATTGCAATTTATCTGATTCATTCATCATAACTTTCGCGCTCAATAGAAAGAAAGGATCCACTTTCCATCTACTTTCCATCCACCCTTCTACCATAAAAATTTAAACCATCGGTACCAACATCTCAAATTGGTCTTGTGTCTAGACTGGTTATGGTCGACCCACCAAAACCTTCGAAAAAGGGATCCCCGCAGCGCATACCAAGACTCAAGCCAAAAATATACCCAGCACATACATAATAGTACATCAACTCTTTGTCGCCGCAGTTTTTGGTCCGTCTTGACCGTCTTGGTCTTCTTACTTTCTCGAGATCTTCGTTTGTTCCTTGAACAAAGTTCGCTTTTTACTTTATTCACTCTTTCACTGCCGAGTTTATTTGGAGATATTGCTTTCATAAGTCCTGGAGACTAATTCTTTGATTTACCAATCATTCTCCATCCACATTCATTATTCCAATCAATCCATCAAGTTCCGCCATTCATTCATTTCTATTTTGGTTCTTGAATCACTCTTTTTTTATATTCAAGAACAAAGCTACATTTGGACCCTCACAGCATGTCCCTTATTGAAAATTACATTACTTTATTCCCAGATCAAGAACAATAGATAAAGATTAGCGACACAATAGCAGAAGAACAATCGGACAATAAACCTCGAATTTTATCGTAAGTAAAGACCTCTTCCACCTCGATGGGACCTTCAAATATCGAATCTCGAATCCCATAGACCCAACGACCATATACCAACCCGATTTACTTACCAACCAACAGCTTCTACAGAGATCTACATAGACGGACTTACTACATTGTTTCAAACCAGCAATAAAGACATCTTTTAAATTCGTTTCAAATACAGCAAAACGAAAATTAAAGTATATCGACATGGAGTCCCTCGATCTTCTGCGCAGGGTCGCTGCTGAAGCGACCACCGCAACCACCACAAGTTTACAACATGCAACCACAACAGAAGCAGCTGCAACGCCAAGCAACACTATAGGAATGTACGCCACCGATTTGAATGGAGTAAATCAATCTGTCAACAATCTTCTACGAGATGTTTTATGGTGGTGCTTAGGATCAATGGCTTTGATCATCCTTGTCTTTAGAATGATGCATCGAGCAAAGTCACATTTGCGACACATGACAGGGATGAATAGTAACGCGAATCAACAACGATATTTCCAGGAAAATAGATCGAGTTGGTGGAAGGTCAAGAAGCATTTGTTGTATGCGCCGCTATGGAACAAACGTCACAACAGAGAATTCAAGTTGTCGTCAGCTGTTAATATGGGAACCCTCCCATCCAGATGGCATGCACTACTGTTGATCGTTTACCTTTCAATGAACGTTGCCTATACCCTTGTTCTTGATTACAGCAGAGAAAACAAATATTCCATTGTAGCTGAGCTACGAGGAAGATCTGGTGTTCTCGCTGTGTGTAACATGATCGCGCTCATCATTCTTGCCGGACGCAACAACCCCCTCATCGGATGGCTTCAAATCAGTTTTGATACCTACAACTTATTGCATCGATGGATGGGAAGGATAGTCGTCTTGGAGGCTCTTGTACATACGTCATGCTGGGCATATGTACAACACGCAGACACCGGTTTCTCTGGTGTTTGGGATAAGCTTATGCACGATCCATTCTGTTCTTACGGAATGATGGGCACTGCTTCCTTTGTCCTCATTCTCCTCACATCCCCATCCCCGATTCGTCACGCCTTTTACGAAACCTTCCTCAATCTTCACATCATCTTCGCTGCCGTAGCCATCGCCGGTGTTTGGATTCATTGCGACATCCCAAGTCTTCCCCAAAAACCTTACATCCGCGCCGTCGCCTTCCTCTGGGTTGCTGATCGCGTGTTCAGAATGGCTCGTCTTATCTGGTGCAACTACAGCACCAAAGGTTGGACCACCGCCTCCATCGAAGCCATGCCTGGAGATGCTTGCCGTGTCACCATGCACCTACCCAAGAAACTCGATGTCAAGCCTGGATCTCACGCCTATCTTCGTTTCGCCAAACTCAACTTCTGGGAGTCGCATCCCTTCTCCATCGCTTGGGTGGCCCATCGCCCAAAGTTCTCCCCTGAACTTCCACTCAACGAAAAGAGAATGGTTTCCGAAGAACAAACAACCGATATCAGCTTTGTCATCCACGCGCAAACTGGTTTGACCCGTCGTCTCTTCGACGCAGCTAAAGTTGCCAGTCCACGTGTTCTGAGACTCAAGGCTGCATTCGAAGGACCCTATGCTGGACACCACTCTCTCGATTCTTATGGCCACGCAGTCCTCTTCGCCGGATCCTCTGGAATCACGCATCAGATTCCCTACGTTCAACACCTTATCCAAGGCTACAACGATGGTACCATCGCCACCAAAAAAGTCCTACTCGTTTGGATCATCCGTGACATCGAACATCTTGAATGGGTACGACCTTGGATGGACGAAATCCTACGCATGCAAGGACGTCGCGACATTCTCACCATCAAGTTGTTTGTCACGAAACCTAAGAATCCAAAGGAGATTCATTCCCCGAGCGCGACAGTCCAAATGTTGCCTGGTAGACCTAATATCAACCTGTTGTTACAGACTGAAGTTAGGGAACAAGTGGGCGCCATGTGCGTTACCGTTTGTGGGCCAGGAGCGTTGCAAGACAGCATCAGAGAAGCAGTGAGAGAAGTCCAAGAACATGGGGTGGTGGATTTCATCGAGGAGAGTTTCACTTGGTAATGCGGAGAATGATTCTTAGGGACCTATTCCCATATACGTTTTCAAGATGCCAAGAAGAGCAATCCAAGAAAGGATGACATAACCCAAGAGATGGCAAGTCGAGTGGTGCAGAATGAGTGGATGGTCAATATTATTTTCTTCTTCGATTCTCGGACATAATTAATACTTTTTATGGGAGAGAGCTTTATATTATACTGCCGGACCAGACCACGCCTGCGCTTTGTATATAGATCATATTATGATTGCATGAGAGAAAGAAGAGAGATGTTAGATGGAAGACTAGATTCGCTTTTAGCGGGGAGTTTGTTGCATTGGGATATCCAGAATTGGCATTAAGGGATTGGACTACTCGTTCATAGGATAAGAAAGGTAGTCGGCCAGAAATAGTTGTCTTTTTGATTTAATTGAATTATTTAAACTATTCATGATATTGAGATTTGTGTTTTGCCATTTGGTGATTGGTGATTCTGATTGTGAAGTTGTGTTGTATGAGATTGTGATGGCAGATATCTATCTAGTAGATGTTTACATCGGGGGTGGTACTTACTGCGTGCTAACTATATTTCTATGATTGATTGGCGCTATGCATCCACGCCCTGCGAAAATGAAGTCATGTCATACATGCATACGTAGAGCAAGTTTAAATACCAGGAATATCAATCGGTTAAAGGAAGCGCTGTTGCCAAGGAGGCTTCCCATTTTGGAAATTTATAGATGCATCTTCAAAACTTTGAGTATCTCCATTGATATATAGATAGTTGTATGGGTCGCTACCTAGTAGGTAGTTGAGGACTATTAAGTTATAGTATAATATGATATAATATAATATAACATAACATAAATATATCGAATCAAGAACCGAGACTTTCCGTGTAACACTGGGTCTCAAAGTAACAGAAAGTAACAAAGAGCAACGGCTAAATCTAGGTATAATTATGGGCGGAGAATTGATTGGTTGAATTGCAGAATTTCCCCTCGCCCCGCGATCGGCTTAATAAAATTTATTCGAAATAGCGTCACTTTCGATTGGTTTGAGTGAGTCTTCCATAATTCTATGATTGGTTTGGTGACTCAATTATTTACTTTGACAATTCTTATAAATTCCCATTTCTCTCTTCTGATTTATTATTCTCTGTATCAAATCATCTCAATAACATTGCTCTTCTGATTGCCTTTTCAAATCTGCAAGATTGAACCAATTTTCAATCACAAAGCGGAAACTTCTTGAAAGTAAAAGTCAATCCATCAAATATAACCCCGCGATTTTGTCAAAATGCCCATGTAAGTGATTACTTCACACATGTCACAGGGAACTCTTCAATGTCTCGAATATAATTCTAACGTTTGGATTCCTCGTAGGCTCAAAGATCCCTCAACGAAATACAAGAGATTTCCTCCCATTCAATTGGCGGACAGACAATGGCCTTCCAAAACTATCGATAAACCTCCAAGATGGCTCAGCACAGATTTACGAGATGGCAACCAAAGTTTAGTCGACCCTATGGATGGCGAACAAAAATGGAAATACTTTAAGATGTTGGTAGAGCTTGGTTACAAGGAAATCGAAGTCTCATTCCCATCTGCTTCGCAAACAGATTTCGATTTCACCAGACGCCTTGTTGAAACTCCCGGTGTCGTACCAGACGATGTCTGGCTCCAAGTTCTCTCACCATGTCGTGAAGAATTTATGAAGCGAACCGTTGACTCCCTTAAGGGCGCCAAGAAGGCTATTTTACATATTTATCTTGCTACCAGCGAATGCTTCCAAAGAATTGTATTTGGCTTGAACGAGGAAGAAGGTTTGGCATTGGCAGTCAAGTGCGCGAAATATGCCCGATCCATTACAAAGGACGATCCCGAACACGCCGGTACTGAGTGGGCTTTCGAATTCAGTCCTGAAACCTTTTCGGATACTAATCCAGACTATGCAATCCGGGTGTGTGAGGCAGTCAAGGAGGCATGGGGTCCGACAGTAGAGAATCCAATCATCTTCAACCTCCCCGCAACAGTCGAAATGTCAACTCCAAATGTCTACGCGGATCAGATCGAATACTTCTGCAGAAATATTACAGAGAGAGAAAAGATTTGCGTCAGCTTACATCCACATAATGACCGAGGATGTGCTGTTGCAGCTGCAGAGTTGGCACAAATGGCTGGTGCTGACAGAGTTGAGGGATGTTTATTCGGAAACGGAGAGAGAACAGGAAATGTGGATTTGGTCACTTTGGCTTTGAACCTCTACACCCAAGGCATCAACCCTGGTATTGATTTCTCGGATCTTGAGCGGGTCATTGATGTTGTGGAAATTAGCAACAAGATTCCAGTTCACCCAAGAGCTCCTTACGGTGGTTCCTTGGTTGTGTGTGCGTTCAGTGGCTCTCACCAAGACGCAATCAAGAAGGGGTTCCAACTCCGAAAGAAGGGAAACCACGGAGACGAGAACCGCTGGGAAGTGCCATATCTTCCACTCGATCCTCAGGATATTGGACGTACTTACGAAGCTGTCATTCGTGTCAATTCACAAAGTGGTAAGGGTGGAGCTGCTTGGATTATCTTAAGAAATCTTGAGCTTGATCTTCCAAGAGGATTACAAGTTGCTTTCAGCAAAGTAGTTCAAAAGCGTGCGGATGAACTTAGTCGCGAGCTTCTCTCACGGGAAATTCAAGACTTGTTCGAGCAAACTTACTACCTCAAGCACAACCCAAGATTCAGCCTTGTTGATTACTCTATCAGTACCGACAGAAGTGCCTCACCCGTGCCACCCGCTCCAGGTAAGACGCAAGATACGACGAATTTGAAGCGTCGATTCGAAGGTGTCATTTCAATTGACGGAGAGGAACACGAACTGAAAGGATTAGGAAATGGACCCATTTCTAGTTTGGCAAATGCTTTGAAGAGCTTAGGTATTGATCTCGAGGTAGCAGACTACAAGGAGCATGCAGTTGGTGCTGGTACCAATGTCAAAGCTGCGTCTTATATTGAATGTACAGCTACAGGTTCTAAGCAGAAAGTATGGGGTGTTGGAGTTCACGAGGATGTAGTTCAATCGTCTCTGATTGCTCTTTTGAGTGCAGCTTCAAACGTAAGTCATCCAGCATCATTACTTGATTCCAAAATATCTAACACAATTACAGTTCATGGCAAGCAGACCTACAACACCATTACTCCTCAAGGGTAAGAATGGTGTTAGCACCAGCCGTGACGTTAATTCTGATGACTCACAAAAAGAGAACGGCGGCCTTGCGATTCCTAAACCTACCACCGCAGCCAAGAATGGACCGGATGCAGTGAGTGTCTTGGAGGCTAAGGTCAATGAAGCATAAATTGTTTATTACTTATTTTTTCGTTGTTCTTGGTCTCTCTTGAAGCTGCTTTCGTAGTAAAAATGAGGGGTAGCTTTTAGCGCGCCTTCTTTTGGGATGGGGTTCATGGAGGGGATATATCATCTGGAAAAGCGATCAAAAAGTGCATTTGAAATTTGAAATCTGAAATCATAGGCAATTGGTAAACAAAATGATGATTATCAAAAAAGATACCTATCTCAATACAAAAGAGTTCTTTCTATGATTTGCCTCCTTAGCAGTAGACATCCAACGAGCCGATACTCAAGGAATAAATAGAGCAAGTCACAAACAAGTTCTTTTGTGTATCAATTTTATTTATTTATTTATATCTCGATTTATTGAATTGATGATTTCTTATCCACGCACGGAGATTTCCATGTGAGATTGACCAAGTCACGTGAATTGCTGATTAAAGACCTAAACGAGCCAATTATACAACTCATGGCGGGGACACCGCTCCATTAATGATCAAGTATGAAATTTGACTTTGTTGACTTTGGACATCAATTTCTAAACAATCCAGAGACCATTTAAAAAATTCTCTCTATTGACAAGAACTATTGATTCTTTACATTCATTTACTTCATAATACAAACAAGACCAAAGAGAGGCTATTGAGCTCTTTCAAATTTTATAATCTTTCTTCTTTAGACAGTTCCAGTGACTACAGTTCTGGAGTCTAGGTATCTAGCAAAGAATCGGCCTTGTCAATATTACACCCAAGTCAACATCGCTTTCTTCAACAACCGCAAATTCCACCTGCGATCAACAAACCCCCCAGTTGAATTCCTTCAACCACCTTGTCGCACATCAAATAACCAGGCATATTGTAGAGAGATAGAAACAACTCTTCTGCAATAATACGAACATCTACAAATACCCTGTAAAACTCGGGAATATCGCAAAGATGGACGTTGGTTCTGTCTTGCTCAATTCCTTGGCAGCAGGTCAGTACTTTCCCCTCTATTCACCAAATTTGTCTCAAAGGTGAACAGACCTTGAACTTCTATGGTACTAACTATCAATAGACAATGCTACTCGTATTGCTGCTGAACAACAGCTTACCCAAGCTGCTGAAGCCAACTTTGTGAGTTCCCCCACACAGCCTTGACCGCACTGTCGATGAGCTTCCATGACCTTCTTTTTACTGACTTTTTCTTCCGTCAATGTAGTCAGGATATCTTGTCACACTCGTAGAGCAGTTGGCAAATGAAGAATCACAGGGTTCCATTCGAGCTGCTGCTGGTATCGCCCTTAAGAACGCCTTCACAGCCCGCGAATATGCTCTGCAACGAGAATTACAAGATAAATGGCTACAGGTCGACCCAGATACTAGGAAGCGTGTGAAGGACTTGACCCTTCAAGCTTTATCCTCAAACAACAACCAAGCCGGTCAAACAGCTGCGCAAGTTATATCCTCGATAGCAACCATCGAACTGCCTAGAGATCAATGGCCAGAGCTTATGCCCGCTTTAGTGCGAAACGTGGGAGAGGGTACCGATCATCTTAAGCAGGCTTCCTTGACTACTCTCGGATTCATTTGCGAAACTCAAGATGCGGAATTGAGACAGAGTCTCGTACAACATTCCAATGCTATCTTAACAGCAGTCGTCCAAGGTGCCCGAAAGGAAGAACCAAATTTGGAAGTACGACTAGCAGCTATCGATGCTCTTGGCAATTCATTGGAGTTTGTGGATAGCAACTTCAAGAATGAAGGCGAGCGAAATTACATCATGCAGGTTATCTGCGAGGCCACACAAGCAACCGACTCTAGGATACAACAGGGAGCTTTTGGATGTCTGAACAGAATTATGTCATTGTATTATGACTTGATGCGCTTCTACATGGAGAAGGCTCTCTTCGGACTCACAATCATGGGAATGAAGAGCGAAGAGGAAGATGTGGCCAAGCTTGCTGTTGAATTCTGGAGCACAGTTTGCGAGGAGGAAATCGCCATTGAAGATGACAATGCTCAGGTAAGATTTCAACACTAAAATCTAGTAAAGAGTGCTACTGACAAAACGAATAGGTTGAAGAGGTTTCTTTGATGCGTCCGTTCTACAATTTCAGCAAAGTTGCAACTAATGAGGTTGTACCTGTTCTCTTGATGCTTTTGACAAAGCAAGACGAGGATGCTGCTGATGATGAATACAACATCTCCCGTGCCGCATACCAATGTTTACAACTTTATGCACAAGCTGTTGGTGGTTTGATCATTCAACCAGTTTTGAGCTTCGTTGAACAAAAGCTTCGTGGAGAGGATTGGCATGATCGCGATGCTGCTGTCTCCGCCTTCGGTGCCATCATGGAAGGTCCGGATGAAAAGACACTCGAGCCAATCGTCAAGCAAGCACTGCCAGTCATCATCAGCATGATGGAAGATAAATCTATTCACGTCAAGGACTCGGCAGCTTATGCTCTTGGTCGTATCACTGAAGCTTGCTCAGAGGCTATTGATCCAACCAACCATTTACCAAAATTGATTGCATCCTTGTTCGAAGGTCTTATCAGCAGTCCTAAGATGGCAGGTTCGTGCTGTTGGGCATTGATGAACCTTGCTGAGCGCTTCTCCGGGGATATTGGATGCCAGGAGAACCCTATCTCTCCTCACTTCAATGAGAGCATCTCCAGACTTCTTCAAGTTACTGAGAGAACCGACGCCGACAACGCTTTGAGAACCGCCGCATATGAAGTTCTTAACACCTTCGTCATGAATGCTGCAAATGATAGTCTTCCATCCGTTGGTCAACTCTCCGAGGTCATCATCAAGAGATTGGAAAACACTCTTCCTCTTCAATCTCAAGTGGTCAGTGTTGAAGACAGAATCACTCTCGAGGAGATGCAAGTCAGCCTGTGCACTGTCTTGTTGGCTATCATTCAACGCCTCGAGAAGGAGGTCACTCCTCAAGCTGACAGAATCATGACTGTCTTGCTTCAAATCCTCACCGCAGCTACACCTAAATCGATTGTGCCTGATGCGGTTTTCGCTACTGTCAGCAGTTTGGCCAATGCACTCGAAGAAGGTTTCGCCAATTACATGGAACACTTTGCTCCCTTCCTTTACAATGCTCTTGGCAACCAGGAAGAGCCAAGTTTGTGCTCCATGGCTATTGGTCTTGTCAGTGATATCACTCGCTCAATGGGCCCACCATGCCAACCATATTGTGACGCATTTATGAACTATTTATTGAGCAATTTAAGGGTATGTTTTGAAAAATCTTTAGTCTTGCCTTTCGTAGACTGGCGTCCAACCCCCAACTATCCCACTGCAATAACAAATCTAATAAATAAACAGAGTACAGCACTTGCCAACCAATTCAAGCCCGCTATCCTTCAATGTTTTGGAGATATCGCAGGTGCCATTGGTGGTCACTTTGAGACATACTTGTCTGTTGTTGCTCAAGTTCTTCAACAGGCTGCCAATGTTCAAGCTAGCCCCGACGGCACATATGAGATGTTCGATTATGTCATCTCTTTGAGAGAAGGTATCATGGATGCTTGGGGTGGCATCATTGGTGCTATGAAGATGGATAACAAGAGTAAGTCATTGAATTTACACCATGGAATTACTTAATTAACACCATGTAGATGACCAGCTACGCCCTTATGTTGAATCAATTTTTGGCCTTCTCAATACCATTTGGGTCGATCAACACCGAAGTGATGCTCTTATGAGATCAGCTATGGGTGTCATTGGGTATGTGCTCAAAACTACATTCCCTTTTTTTAATTCACGTGTACTAACGGACTTAGTGATCTTGCCGATGCTTTCCCTAATGGAGAATATGCCTCATATTACCGTGCTGACTGGGTCATGTCAATGATCAAGGAGACCAAGTCAAACAGAGAGTTCCAAACCAGAACCATCGATACCGCACGTTGGGCTCGTGAGCAAGTTAAGCGCCAAACAGGTGGTAGCTCAGGGACTATTCAAACTTGATCGAATCTCTGAACGGTCAAACGCGTCCTTTTACAACTTTTAATGTCCGTTCCTAGGGCCGGCGCATGAATTTTTGATAGAGCTCAACGAATGTGTTCCTCACTCTTTTTTTTATTATGATTTCTCTTTTTTTTTACAACGTGTGGCCATTGCAGAGGGGTATTGTCCTCGGCCTACGTCGATCTGTTTGTTCCATCATATTTTTTACATCGTGTCGAATCCACAGAACCTGTCTGTCCGTTCGTTCGTCCATAAATCATCGAATGGTTCCTCTGCCATAGTCACACTTACCTCTAACGGCAACGGAAACCCATGTCACTCGATATGATGAATGAGGAACCTTTGATTTGCACACCCCATTTGTTCAGCACCAACATCACCACCACAGCACCATCAGCACATTACTCTGTACAAATAGATTCACTTATTCCTAACAGAATAACTTTGTCCCCTTATCTCGCGCCAATACCCTTCACATCATCACGTTTCTGTCGCGCCTTTTCTGCTGGTTTTGAGCGAAGAATGCATGCCGGGTTTTTGATTTATTTCTAAGGTTTCTGATGGATGACGATATTGACGATGGAATGGATGATAAGAGGAGATATGATGCGCATGGGATGGATCAATTGCTTTCGCCGAAAAATCTTGTATTGTGGGTAGGAGGATGGGCGGTTGGATTGTTGGGTAATGGGAATGGGTGGATGCCGGACGCATTTAACGAACGTGACGGCTGGATGGGGAGTGGAAGGATGGAGGAGTTTTATAACATGTAAAGCTTTGACAATGATCGACCGATTTGGGTCCTTTGTCTTAGCGGTGAGCTTTAGACCATCATCATAAGAGGAAATGCAGAAGGCATGCCCGGGGTTGGGTACATGGGATGGTGGAGGAAGAGATGGGAATCAAGTGATTCGAACAATGGCTATATCGTCAGTGGGTTAAGTTGGTTTGATTGACAACTCGTAACTGAAAGAAATAGATAGATAGATACCTAGGTCAGAAAGGCGAAGTCGCCGACTTGACATGAATGGATTTGTCTGCCATATTTTTGTAGTGACCTGGATTGTGATTGTGATGTTTCATTGTGTTAAGTGGCTTCGGTTTATATGAGCTGTATATGGGAAGCATTTCAGCGTGAGAGGTTATAGTGATCGGCGTGGATTCGAAAGTGGAATTGGGAACGGAAGCACTTGTGCTAGTGTTGAACGAGGGAGAAGATGTCTGAGGCGGGGGTTTCGAGGACAAAGAAGCGGGAAAGATATGAGACTGGGATATAAAAGGGTTCTCTACCACCCCATTCCTGATACTCAATCCGCAATCTTTCAAGACATTTCATTGCGAAGCAAATCAATGGAAAACATTACACCAAGTCTTGCTTCTTCTACTAGCCTTGTCTCGCTTTTGTAACTCATGGCAACTTTGTTTGGTTTTCAAATGGTCAGTTTTGATAGGGGAAGTAAGAATGGGGTGCTTGATTCCCCCACCGTGTCGGAGCGTTGAATTGATATTCTTAGGCTACAAGGGGCAAATTAGACAGGTGTTAGATAACTGGTAGATACATGAGAAAGCAGTGTATGTGTTATTAGTTAAATGGCAAGGTCGGTTGTATAGGAGGATTCAGAAGGCAGTTTGTGAAAAGGCACGCAGATGACAGGTACGTTGCAGGTGTTGGTGGAATTCGAGAAGAGCTTGGGAGAAGTGAAGGCGTGTAGGTCGGAATATGCATGTGTCTCTCCCAGAGAGAAGTCAAAGTGTCAAAGTGTCAAGTGCTTAAACTTATGATAGAATTAGCAGTTGTAGTCCGGAAGTGGTGCATAACAGATTGGCGACTAGTGAATTCGGGTATGATATCATCTGCGCGGATGCTACTTTTGTGCGGCAGTTCATTTTAAAGTCTGGATTCAATCTAGATCCCGGTGAGGCTTTTCGAAGGTTACTAGATGTGAGTGAACACCGCGGTTTTGTTTCTCTCGTGGCTTGTCTTGTATTCTCGTGAGAGCTGTGGTTGTACTTGTGAAAAAAATCTAGAGCACGTAGGTGGATGAGGGTCGTCCTTGTCATATACACATCACCTGTGGGGATTGAATCTTAGTCTACAAATTAAGTTCGGACTTTGAAGTAGGATTATTTTGTAAACAGTTTGTAGACATTTAGCTCTTAATCTATAGATCTTTTGCGAACATCCAGAAGCCCGGCTTGCAGCTACAGATTTCAATCGTGAACAGATTGACACTGATGTGTTTCCAGAATCGAAGATGTGAGAATATCGTGTCTTGAGAGATATCTCTATAGCTGGCGATAGATTATCATAAACATGCCGCACGTTATTCTAGCCTATGTTAAATTCATACTACGATGATCGAAATGCATGTAAATGGTTGCGTTACGTGAGTCCTTTGCTAATTTGGTGCTTATAAGGAGATTCGAGGTCGATTTGTATAATCTCACAATCCATCAAAATAGCGGAAAGGAAAATGCTCTAGTTTAGGATTCTTATTGTTCTGCCACCTTTACTGCCATGGCGCGTGTATGAAGGATGTTTGCTTTGAATGCTGACACTACAGAGACAGCGAGAGAGACTGGTATTCCTCCTAATATATCTGCGAGCTCTACGCATTCAGAGTTACTTTCTGGAGGTTTACCCACAACCAGCGATGTGAAGGTGGTAGGGATCAAGGAAAACTTCAATATGAGGGGAGTAGGATTATTACAGCTGAAAATATGAGTGGGGCCTGATCTTGGGATTTGAAAGTGTAAGTGCAATATCTGGATTTGGAATTGCAGCAACTGAGAATTCGCAGTCGAATTATGTGCATTCGCAGGAATCTGACAAGGTTCAGAGCTCAGCCGTGGACTTCGAAGCTATCGGTTGTGAAAGTCATGTTGCTGGTGTAAAGGTGTTGAATTTGATTCATTTGGGCCAGTGTAGGCAATAGTATACTGCCACGAAACTGTAACTTGTATTAACATATTGATGTAATAGTTAGCATATTTGAAAAGGGGGATATATTATTCTCATAAATTATTCTTCAATCTCAAGATTGTTAGTAATATATTGAATATCTTTATTGATATAACTTTTAATATTATATATGACAATATTTTAGAGAAACCCAATAATTATTATTATATCGACCCGTATATTGATTATGGGAAATACTATTGCCTACACTGATTTGGACAGAACTGCGCTGCGACTGAGGCCTTGGTATGCGCACCCAAGGTCTGAATACATAGGTTCGTAGGGGCTAGCTCAGCAAGAATGTTAGGGGCTGCCGCTGCGGAAGCGACTTAAGTAGACGTGATGGGGAAGACACCGTATACGTTCAGGGAGAATGGAGTCAATCATTTCACTAAGCGAACTAGACCACATTGAAATTTGGGACCTGAGACAGACGACGGACTGGACCAGTTGGTCATGACAAATTTTGGAGATATCTTCGAGTACCTCTGTCACTAACTCTTTGCGGAAGGTTCAGAAAGTTCTCACCGTTTTTCGATCTGAGTATGATAAAGAGCTGCACTGAATCTTTAGAGCATGTTCGTTGTTAGTTAGGTGGAATCTACGCTACAATGCGAATGGTAAAAATGAGAGCATCGGGCTGCAGAGAAAAAGACAAGAGGCAAAGACGCTTGGAATACAAATATAGCGAAGACTTTGCTTACTAACAAGTAAATCATCGAGATATATGTGCCAGAAATTAGAATTACTAGAATTTAGGTCGAAGTAGTTAGAGGAGATCATTCCAGCTGGCACAATCAGCGTATCGTTTGAAACCAACCTTTGCGTGGTGTTTTCTATGGATTTCGCAGATCCACGACTAATCCGGGTTCACCTCGCGTGGAAAGCATGTATAACGACTGTGTTTCCACGGCGTGCAGAATTCAAATAATGTAGGAACACTGTGAGAATGCACTTCATAACACCTGGATTACATGCAAAAAGTACATTTGGCGTCTAGCATATTTGATACCGATGGGGAGGGCGACAAGGAGCCTTCTTGGATTTCTCGTTGTGCTGGCATGCTTACAAACACTATCGTGATGATACGAGAGAACTGGCTCAAGGTTTCGAGAGGTCTTGAAATGATAGTATGAGTCTAGTAAGTGCTTTAAACAGTATCAAAGAATGCATGTGGATGAATGTTAGAAGTCTAAGGAGGAAGAGAAGAGAGTTTGACAAAGAATATATATGTAAAGTATACAAAACAACCTGTCTTTATTTATTCTCTTCGTTTTAATTAGAGTAAACTAGATTGTAATCTTCCTGAACTCTGAACAGTAGGCAATATCGTCGGGTGGTCTTATTCGAGACACTCTGAACAGCAAAAAGTTGATTTCTTATTTTCTTACTGTGGTCGAGTCTCTGTGACTTCTAAGTGCCAAGAACACAGTCCCATTTTATAGAACAGCGTCCTCGAAGCTGTTTAGCCTATTATATAGACATTTTTGGTACACAAAGAAATCATAGGAGGAATTTCAATAGTATAAACCTAACAGGTGATAGGTGCCAAGTTGACAATTTAATATCCTTCAAAAACAGGATTTCAACTTGTGTGTAGCAGTTCAGTCTACGAAAAATAGTAGCTTTTGGTTTAGCATCATCTTAAAAGAGGATATCTATTGTATTATAATGTTGGAATTAGAAGTCAAGACACAAAAGCAATAGGTAGTATCGTTGAGTGGCTTTAGCTCAAGATATTTTAACATTGGAAAGGTTTACGTCATATGTTGATGCTATCATCGACTTTCTGCAGTTTATAAATATCAAATAGGGGAAGTTCAGCCACAAACTTATACAATAGACTCTAATTAGACACTTTATTTGACATTAGTTGTTCCCTTACAGAAAGATAAAACTGTGTACATTATCTAAGACAGATAAGGTGGTGATTTATGGGCTTTTACTTGGGCTAAGAGCTTCACGAATACCATTTTACCAAGAAAAGACATGAGGGCGAGTGGTATGGAGGGCCTTTATTGATGCTAGGTATGCCATTAAAGCCCAAGAATTGAGATTTATACTCAGTTGATGAGAAACCCATATGTAACCATGCAATGTATCGATTTCATCTCCGACGCAGTATCCTTCCAAAAAGCAAGATGCGGTGTTTATGAATCTAGCAACAAGTTGTATAAGAGGAATGAATTAAAAGATCATAACATCATTGAAGGAATGGCAAAGTTTATTGCCACTGATGTATACTTATGGTAATATTATTTCATTAGGTCCACACCCATGACAAATATTGAAATAAACTCCCCCACACAAGGACTCTCCATAACAGAACACTCTCTTGATGGATGGTCGACAGTATCTGGCGAAAGTATCTTCGGTGTGGCCATGATATTTCTGCTTTTCATATCTCCTTTCGTTGAATAATGGCTCCAATTGATCAATTTTAGAAACATCTGCCTTCAAACCTTCAGTCGCAATCCACCTAAAAGTTACTTGGCGGAAGATGGGAGGATCTTCTGCCGGTAATTTATACGACCTGAGGCTTTGGGAAATACCAGAATCGTCTACCGATGTCTCATAATACACGCCCTCAGTTCTACGGGAATTGAGATCGAAGATAGAACTAATACCACGTACAAGTGCGCACATGGAATCATCGTAGTCGTTCATATATGCGACCTTATCATTGGAGGGTGTATCGATGATTCTGAACGCGGTGAGCTGCTTAGAACTATGGTGAAAAGTTTGGAGGTTAGTCTAGATCGTAAGTTTAATAACCAAGATATTCATTTGCTTGCTTACTGTCTTAAGAATTGCAAGATGCAAGCGATTTGAAATTTCGTTGTCCCAAAGGTAAATTGTCCCCTTATCACAGCCAATCTCTTTAGTCGGCTTGCGAGATGCACAAAATATGGTTTCAAGCCGAAGTTTTTGTCCGATGTCAATGCATCCTTGAACTCAGCCAACTTCGTTTTGTTGAGCTTACTATGCCTCTGTGAGTACTTATAATGTAAACTGCAGTAGACCGGAATAATGCTGAATATCCTCACCTGAAGTCTAAGCAAAGATCTGTGATATACAAATCATAGAAGCGAAGTCCAAAAGACTCGCACATGAATTGTAGCTGAATTTTTGTTCCAAATTTATCCATAGAATTTACCTTGAATTCGCCATCAACATGATGTTCGGGTTCAAGAAGCTTGGGGAATTGATTGACAGAGCCGTGGTTAAGTCTAGCTCTTTTAGCATGTCTGATGAAAGTCTCCACGGTGTAGTGAAATGCTGTCGCTTCTGACTTTGCATCCAAAGCTTTGATAATGTCGGGATAGTCCGGGAAGACCATAACGTTGTCGAAAAGACTCTCCATGATCATTATGATCAGTTCGGGTGATAGCTTGCTAAGACGTGATGGCTTTAGATTACCAAGTAATAGGTCACGGACAACCTTTTTCCTTTGATCGTCCATCACGACGTTGTTTGACTTTGTGGTAGCTGCCATTTCGAGGTTCAAGAAGGGCTTGTAGATAGATAAAGTGCGCAGAGTCCTTGAGTTAAAGGAAGAAAGACAAACCGAATCAATCAATTTTTGAAGTCTTATGAGGGGAAAAGAAGTTCCCCCTGAATCTAGAACCTACTTTTAGAATCAACTAGCTTCAGATCCGAACCAATCACAGGCTCCGACAACAAAACTATTCACTACAACTCTTTCATGAAGTCTGATTTACTCAGCCAACCTAATAAAAGCATGTATCAAAGCACTCTGATACTTCATTGTTTTAATCAATATCTTCTACCAGCCTCGGTATCCCAGCTGTTGAGAACCACTAACAAAAGCTCATCAGATTGGGAGTAATTTCCCCTCCATCATTCAATGTGATGTCTTGGCAACCATTGGGCAGGCAAATTGACTGCCATCATGAATCATAGTAGTCGATTGAAACTAGGGGAACTCTCGCATTTTCCGTGACTTCATCCCATTACTTGACATGTGATAGGTAGGTTCTTAAATCTACCTTTAGACTAACGTATTGACTTCATGGACTTCAGTACTCCGAAATGGCCAAATTACATATTAATTGGTCACTCAAGGAAAATGAGACTTTGGATATTAGATAGACAAGACGCGTGGAGATTTGAGGCAGGTGAACTTTGTTCTTGATGAAAATAACTTATATTAGAATGAATTGTTGAACATGCTGGGCTCAATTTGCACCCGGAAACAACACCCGTCCCCTCGAAAGACATATTCAGTGAAATTGCCTCATTTTGACTCACTCTATTATGATTGTCTTCTGTAAGGCTTAGTAAAGCCCCTCTTAGGTCTCTTTTATCAGCCAACTCACTTCATAATATATTTGTACCGACCTTTTTGTACAAGGTGCTGGGAGAGTAGCATCGTATCGCGAGGCGATTGCCAGAAATCATGCATACAGCGCAGATTGTTCTATGCAGGTTGCTCGTCGGTTTGATCCCTTCGATTTCTCGAACGCCATATCTGAGCATCCTTACGACACGCTTTAAGACTATTTATAGGAGCTCGACAATTCGTTCAAACAGACACTGAGTAATTTTCTCCATCAGAAGACGGGCAATCTAGACAATGCTCTGCTGCCTTCTGTTCAGTTGGCTCCTGGAACATGTACCCACTCACCCCAATAAAACAGGTGTTGCGATTTCTTTGCATTCTTGGTCTACCTATTCAAAATTGCCTTGCGAGACAAAGCTTTATGAGGGAGGAAAAGAAGAGTACTTGGACTTACATTCTTCAACATCAATCATCTTGTTCAAGGTTGTATTAGCAAAATTGCGCCCCGCTTTGCTCTCAACATCAGGTTACATCGTTTTCGTTTATACTACGACTTTCTAGGGTTTTGCAGATAGTTCCAGACATGCTCGATCCTTTGTCAAATAGTCAACCTTCGTCTTTCTTGGCTAACAGACGTTTGTACTCCAGTAACACGAGCTATTCTCACCCGCGCACTATCAATATCTCGGTCATTTAGCGACTACGAGATCGGAAATATATTCAGATACAGTTGGGAGGGGGTTGGTGTAAGATAATAAGCGCAATAGATCAATACCGCGTCACCACCTTCGCAAACGAACACAGGAAACAGAAGCGAACCTTAATTGAAACAAGCAGCGCTTGAAGCCTGTCGTTCCCAACTAGTCATATGTGGGTGAAGTGCAAAACGGTGGTGATGCCTGTCCATCTCTGCCATTACGAATTTCAACAGTATCACTCAGGTCTTCGGATCGCAAAATCCAAGCCCCTTCATGCTTGTTCTAGGCAAGCGAATGTTTATTGTCATTGCCTCGAAGAACTCCCCTAATTTTATATCTAGTACGATTTTACAAATTCGAGTCTGTATTTAGCACAGAACTTACATTACGGCACATCGAAATAAGACAGTATAACAACAGGCACGCATACGCTTACCATGGAACATCTAGTCTAGTCTAGCCCAGAATATATTCAGGAAGATCCCCCAGGACTGGATATCGAGATTTCTACCTAAGCTATCCAAACTCTAGGTCCATGGTTGAAAAACGAGCATAACGGTGATATAATTAGAAGGAGCTCCTTAGATGCCGAAGAGCTGGAAGAATCTAGCCCCTTCAGCCTTCATACTGCAAGATTAAAGGGGAACAATGGACTTGGTTGATTACACTGGTCAATTTAACCAAGCATGGCTAGCCAATAACAACCAATATAAAGCAACACTTGACGGCGGGATCAAAGCTAAAAAGGGATAATTTAATCACAAACATGAGCATATTAGTGCTCGCAAAAACTGATCATAACATATATCTATTCGATGCCTGGTAGGTCATATATAGTCAGCAACCAAGATATCTTCGTTGTTTGAACTCGCAGATACATATCAATGAATCTCTTAAGTGATCTAAGTATATTGTTAGGCTGCATCTGATGTTGAGTTTATATAAGGTTTATGGGAAGTCTTTGGACTCATATTAGTATCTGTTGCAAGCTCTCTACACGTTTTTACCTCACATCGGCTTTTGAGCCAGATCATAAGTGCGGATTGTGTAATTGAGTGAGGAGTTAGGCCAGATTAAACTATTCAGGCTGGAAGGCGCAAGGTGGAGAGATGAGGTGAAAGTGAAGGAGTAATACTAGCCAATCGAACTTCTTCCTGGTCTCTCGTATCCTCACGAGAATGAGATTTCTGCCACAATCGAGGATGACTTTTCACAAGCCACCTTTTATTTATCTATGCAGATAATTGCTGGAAACGATTACACCATAGGAACTTGGGAAAAATGATTGTGAAACATGCTTGTATTGATTTCTTTGGCTGGAACATTCATCGATTCATCTAATACATATTGTTGAATTGTGTAACACAATCACGCCGAACAAGTCTAGCACCAAACTCAAAATTCCAAATTTCAAACCTCAAGTCTTCGAGGTGCTTCAGGAGATAAACCTCCCCTTCCGTGTAACCATAAAGTATTGCAAAAAGATAGTCTAGAATCTGGCGCCGATACCTGCCACCGTTTTGCCATTCCATTATCCTAAATACCACCACCCACCGATGCTCCGATAATACAACCTCCATGTGCTCCTCTACTTCACACACCCAGCCTAGGACAACTGAACAAGCAGCATAAAACAACAAAGAAAACTCAATTCAACTATTCACAACATCTTTCGCGAAAGGCAACGTCGGTTAACGATGTGGGATATAAAGTCCAGGGAAATGGGAATGTAAGCGAGATGAGATAGAAAGCATCACTGAAATTAGGTTTTTTGGGTAAGGACATGTATAATATCTTGTGTCATGAAGCGAACTATGGTCAAAATTGGGAATGAATGGAGAGTGTAATTGAAAGAAACGCAATATCCAGGGATTTAGCGACCGTTTGATTGGGAATCTCTTATGTGGTAGTGAGCATATTGTACGTTTCGAATCGGAAAGACTAAAATCGAGCTTTGCGTGGAGATTCGAAAGCCCCCGGTGTTTAGCAATAGAGGAAGAAAGTAATTAGGATGGTGATTGTTAGAGGAAAAGAGAAAGAACAGGGAAATAAGGAAGCCACAATCAAGAATCCTCTGAGATCGATGCATTTCCGGTGGAATTGGTAGTATTATAAAAATGCCAGGTCTTTCGTAGGCCCAGAAAACCAAATGACTCCATTTGTCCGTAAAAGAATCTCCCAAGTTCTGAAACTTGACAGAATGCGAATACATATGCATCACAAACATCGCACCGCATTGCACTAAGTTGGATATCCTTCCTAACCATCGTTGTTTGTACCAGTCTTGTCATTGTAAATGCTATTGATCAAGATCACGCAGAAAGCCCATTTTGCTCATCCATGCTTGATTGAAAAATCTCCCCGAAACTTTCGAAGATTATTCGTTCATTTCGTTAACAACAACAACCCAATTTCCCTTCCATTGCACCGCGACAACCATGAACAAAATATTTAACGGCTAGTGTTCATTGGCTTTGGTGCCTTACCCTTGGAACCTTGCTTGCTGACTTTCGATTGGGTGGAGACATTGGTCTTTGCCTTTGTGGCCTTCTTGGCGGCTTGCTCTGCGGCACGCTTCTCCTTAGCGGCCTTGATGGCGGACTCACGAGCAGCGGATCTGGCTTCTGGTCTCTGGTTTCTTCGCTCCTTGATGACATCGAGGGAAGCACCGACGATGGCTCTTTGGGACTTGACGGTCTTGCGGGAACGCTTCTTGGCGACTTCCTATATGGTGAGAACTGCATCAGTATTTTTGTTCTTCCGGGTGTCCCATGATGTCATTTATTCCATCTCGATATGAATCAAGCTGCGAAGTAAATCGTGATATCGTACCTCAGAGATACCCTTCTTGTGTTGTCTTCTGAAGAGAACGGTCCATGCAATTCGGCGAGGGTTCTTGCGTTGCAAGAACAAAGATTCGGATTTACCGTTTTGGAAACGGAAGATCTTGGAGTCTCCACGGATGTAGAGCTTGCCCTATATGATTTCAAAAGTAATTAGCATTGAATTCTTCGATACGCAATCCTTATGCGCCTTTGAAGTAATTCCCAAATCTGCATAGTCGTAACCCAACAATTCGCCTTCCTCCCCCATCAATCCAATCATTCATTTGTCGACCACAATCCATAATCATTCAAAGGGGCAACACTCGTACCTTTCCAGGGTAGATCTTGGCTCCCGAGAAGGAATCTTCGTAAGTACGCATGATGTCGACGGTTTGGCGTGGTTGTCGTGTGTTTGCTGTTTCCTGCGGAGTCGTGGGCAGGAAATTCAATAAGATCGCAAAATACCGAATTCGTTAGACTCTTAATTTTTTGGTTTGCGATTTGCGTGCGAGCGCTAAGATCTCGCTAAATTGGCCCTAGTTAAATTGCTCTGAGCCTTGTCCACAGCCTCGGCATTATTGTCAGCCTTGCTTTCTGAAGACGTTTATCTTAACTTCATGCAAATTTAAACCAATTTGAAGAGAATGAATAGGAAATACGAGTACACTTATAATTTGGTATCCTCCATTGAAGTGTTTTGTTGACTCCCAACAGGTATAACAACCCAAAGTTAGGAGACACAGAATCACGTGATCTCCCTCAATCGTTCACATCCTCGCGCCATGTAGAAGGCCTAACCTTTCCTTTCATATTTACAAGTCCATCATCAACGGCGACCATGACTCTCGTGAAGGTCCCGTTTACTCCAGAGCCGTACCCTCCTGGGTCCTCCGAAATACTTGAAGATATTACCCAGGGAAGTAGTCATTGTTGGACACCTTTATTCCAGCATAAATGTTCATTTCCACCGGAGATCTTTTCGCAAGTCATGCTGAATTTAATTCGAAATCCAAACATCAATTCCAATCATCTGTTTCGAGCCGATATCTCTTTAGAGCAGCCATTTGATGAAAATTTCCAAAATGATACTACAATTCCTGCGAGGATTATTCAGTTCCGCAACTATACTCTACAGAAAGTTATGGTAAGAACTATGATACCTAGAAACATCTTAAAAGATAAGCCACTCGATCAAACATGTCTTTTCTATGCAAATACTACAGATACTGGGGAAGTTCAGTCTCTGGTTATTTATCTCCCTCATATATCATCACCTCATGAATCACCATTTTATCACCCTGGAGTTTACGGAATTGCTTTCCAGCATATATTCAATCCTGAGACACAGGATGCAACTATTGCAATACACTATGCATTCTTCGACTCTGAACCTCGTACTCAGAAACTTGAAAGAACAGCTGAGCATTTACTAGCTGCTCTATATAAGCACGGGCAAGGAACTGCTGCAGGATATGTCAAAAAAGTCCATCATGACACCATCATACCTCAAGCTACTGTTCAGAATACTTATGCTCGTCTCAAGGCCAAATATGCAAAAGCTTTGATTGAGAATTGGGCTGAAGCCACAGATCCTGAAAAGCATGTTTTCGAGGATCTGAACATTGCAGCATTTCTCATTGAACTTTGGGCCGATACTTATAAAGATACCGAATTTCCAGGCTATGTTGACATTGGATGTGGAAATGGACTTCTTGTTCACATTTTATCCGAAGAAGGTTACAAAGGATGGGGATTTGATGCAAGAGAAAGGAAATCATGGAGTGTGTTCGGGCCAAAAACACGAGAGAAGTTACAAGAACTTGTTTTGATACCTTCAATTCTATATTCAGAGTCAAATGAAAATGAAACCTCGGGACCTGATGTTCACGACGGAAGTTTCCCCAAAGGAACATTCATTATCTCAAATCACGCTGATGAGCTAACTCCATGGACACCTATCCTTGCGAACATTTCTCAATCACCATTTATGATGATTCCATGTTGTAGTCATGCTCTCAGTGGTGCAAGATGTCGGGCGCCACCACCCAAAGGATCTAGAGGTACACCCTCGGCGTACGCTTCTCTTGTTGCATGGGTCGCGGGACTCGCTGAAGGATGTGGATGGGAAGTGGAAAAGGAATGGCTACGAATACCGAGTACAAGAAATGCGGCTCTAATCGGACGAAGAAGAAAACTGAATTACGAAGATGTCGACGTACGAGGGTTTGTTGATGCAAATGGCGGAGCCACAGGCTGGAAGGAAAACGCATTAAAGTTGGTGACGGGAAAGGCAAAGAATCATTGAAGGTCATTTATGACATTTATCACACATCAATTCTGCTAAGCAGCACACCGCATACAGACGGACTTCAAGTACCACATCTCAAGTACAACAAAAGATGCCGTCGATATGTGACACCATTTTTCTCTTGAGAACACTAAAAGAGGCACCCAAAGTCATCTCACCACCCATGGAAATGTTGATACATATGTTCCTACATACTAGTCCTTGGCCCTGAATCTGAAAATGCCACGAGTGACAAGGTCCCGCCATATGTGCAACTAATGCGGCCCTATTCCAAATTTCTTATCATAAGCGCTGGCCAATCATGAGGTCATTCTCGTTCTGAGGAACGCCATGAGATGCATCATCTGAGCCATTTCCCCACTCTCCATGAGAAAATAAAAATATGCTGCTTATGTGTATGACCACATCTCCACAACCAATCTCGTGAATGTCATAAAGTACGATGGTTGCGAGGTGGAGGTGGAATTTGGAGGAAAGCGTACGGGTGAGAGACTTGGACTGGATCAGGAAATGGGGAATGCTGGGTTTTTGGCTGCATCAAAGTTGTCTCATCTTCCCTATCGAAATCAATACCAACGTATCAAAACCCCACCACCTTTCATCGGTGTCGTTACTATGAATAGTTCACCAATTCATTTGTCTTTACTGCCTGCTTACATTTTTGAACTTAACTTTTTACCTCTGTGTTAGATCCTACAAACTCTTTCTGCTTCCCTATATAGCATCAATACCCCCCAGTTTTAAATTTCCCTCGGATTCTGTTCTTGATAGGCAATACTGACTTCACAATCTTGCAGTAGTGGGGATACCGCCTACGACAGGAAATACAGACCCCTTGCTCGGACCCAGAAATGGACGGGATACACCACCTTCATAAACCATCTTTTTTACTTGAGCCGAGGAAGCAACACCTCATTTGTACGGGCCAAACGAAGGGAGTCATTTAATTTAAGATACCCATCTACCACGTGTATTGGCCCAACTCAAACTCCATAACCAAATGCCAGCGCAAACAGTCACAAGAAATACTATCCTTGCTATCTAACCTTTCTTTCTTGCCCTTCGAATCCAAGATGTTAAATTTTCTGCACGTCGTTCAATCTGGACAATTTCGATACTCAAATATTGTGTCTTCTTGATGAGTATCGGACCCATTTCGCACTTTTATTGCTTCAATGATTTTCCAAATCATTTCTTTAAACACTTTCAGGTCTTAGATTCTTTCAAACCGTTTCTATCTCTCACTTTGCTTCAATTAACCTCAACAAATTTAGCAACACAAAGCTATCTGAGGGTTTGAACGAGAAAGAGGAATAGTCTTTACATCCTGATGGCATGTCGTTCGTTCGATCACAACTTTGAAAGAAGACACGAGAAGGGGACTTCTATACTCACAAACTTACTAGCTGATCTGTATGAGGATCCCTGCTGTGTTTGCTGAAACATCATGAAGAGTGATTAAGAAGTCAATGAAAGCTCTTTTACCAAATGTGGTGATGATAAGCTAGCACAATTTCAAAGAAAGCAGTAGATCATTGTATTCTCAAATATCATGAGATCTTCCGATGGAAACTGGTTGTATTTAATGTTCTTTCGATTGTGTCTTTGATATAATGAAACCCTTTAAAGCCATGATAATTCAGGGTGGCGAAAGAAAGACTAAAATCTCTAGCGCAATCAAGGAGAAAAAATGAAAGGAGTTAAAAAGGGGGGTATTGTGTCTCTAGAATATGGCTTTTGGCCCAACAATAAAGGTGATTTGATCGTAGGTCCTTCATCTCATTAGCAGATGTATATATATCAGCCCGTCACTAGAACCCCCTCTTCCACGCTAATCATCTGATAATTGAAGCTCGTCGACTCTACCTCCCGATATCTCATCGTCTCACTCTACAGTCCATCCAGCCATACGGCTCATCTTCCATCACCATTCCACTCTCCAAGCAGCATGTCCTCACCTACCCAGCTCCTCTCTCGCTACTCCCATATCCTCCGCAACACCCACAAGATCCTAACCTCTTTCTCTCTTATCCTCAGTCTAAACAGTACTTACCAAGTATGCGCCATGAAGAAACGCACCAAGAAAAATGAAGAAGAAATCGACAATATGAGTAGCACTATTGATTTGATGAAGGGGTATATGTATGGGACCGCATTAGGGCCGGGGCTGTATGGAGGGATTGATCATTGGTGTGAAGAGAATCACGATTTTTGAGATGATGGGACGTGAACGAGAGAAAGATGGGGAGTCGAGAGAAAAAGAAGAATTGGGTAACATGGAAAGGAGAGAAAAAACCTGGCAAGAGAGGATAGGTGAGTTGAGCCTTGGAGCTAGAGGTAAGAAGAGCAGAAAGGGGGAGGGAGGGAAGAAGTCGGAACAAGGTGATGGTCCGGATCCAACGACAATAAAGATCGCGGAAGCGAGTAGCAAGGTCTCGGATGGATCTGAAAATGCCAAAATTCAGAGTGGCGATCAGGAGGATGGGAAGATGAGAAAAGAGGATAGGAGAAATGAAGGAAGTGAAGATGTGAAGAGTGTGGACTAGGCACGAGAAACTTAGAAGGTATTGAAAAGGGGCACTATTCAGTCACTGCTGGCGCGTATTGCTTGCTGAAATCAAGTGTGATCTTGTTGATTTTACAACCACAAGTTTCTACATAATGATATGAGAGAAATCTGATGGTCATTTCCTTGAAACAGCGTCGCACGGCTCAAAAAGTAGCTCAGATACCTTGTAGAAACACCAAAGATTGTAAAGCATCACTTATTTAAAAAAACACGTGCCTACCCCGTTTAGTCGCCTGAATGTGATTTATTGACCCGAGGGGAAAGAGAGATCCTATCATCCTTCAAATGAATACGCTAGAATCTTGACGCTTTTGGCCCCATAGGAAAGATATTGTAATATAGAAGGACTTAATGTGTAGTATGATTTTGTACAGCTAAGTGACCTTCGGACTACCTGAAACTTTATGTTCATGCAGCGAGGTGCCGTAACATAGCCAAAGAGAGGATTATGATCATTTCCATATCAATGCTGTCACCAGTTCTCTAATATCATTCCTAATTGACTTTGCCTTGCGTGCGGGAAATTTATTCGACCTTGTCCTCAAAGTTCTCACCCTCAACCAAATCTGGGATATCATCATCATCCTCCTCATCGTCCTTCTTGTCTTCACCACCCTCAGCCTTTTGCATGGATTGGTAGCTCTCGGCAAGCTTGCGGAGGGAAGCAAGGGAATCTGGGCCGAGTTGGTTGAGAATACCTGGGACGAGCTCGGTGAGCTCCTTGTCTTCGCCGTTTCCGTAGATGGCGAAGGTGTTGGATGGAACAGCAGCGTGAACTATTATTCATTGAAAGGTTAGTTTAACTCCAGGAGCTCGTATTGTGAGGTGAAAGTACCCTTTGGTGCAGCGAAGTGGATAACATTTCCGTCCGACTTGAACATGTTTACCTCCTCGATAGCTTGGATAGGTTGAACATTAAGCTTCTTGAGGGAGGTCTGTAACTTCTTGTCGTCCATTCCGGTGCTCTTGTGAACATTCTTAACCTTTCTTCTTGGTGTACCCTTTCCACTATTGTATTTGTTAGCAGACCGATGCTACCCCGCTATGCGCTTTCCTCAGAGTCGTAGAGCTCGGAAATCGCGTTCGTAGATCATAAATCGCATGAGGATGAGGATTCTATCACGTACCCTTCGGCCACATGTTAGCTTTTAATCGTTCAAATACCGGTAAAAATTGTATAGCACAGCCAGCTGGCATTTCAACCCCTCCATCATTCGAAGAATCCCATTTCAAGCTCTTCAACCCTTCTGCCATTCGCGTCCTCTGCGGTATTCGCCGGAGTTAGACTCACCAGTTCTGACACCACCTCTGGCCTGCATTCTCTTCAACTTTTCCATATCCATGATTGCTGTAGTTTGACCTTCGTCGAGAAGTGAGGGGAGGTATTAAATGAGGAAGTGGAGGTTGTTCTATGGCGAGGGAAAATCGTCAGTCAATAATTCGAGGTATCTGTCCGGCAGAAAGGTTCGCAGCGATCGGATGTATTTTTGATGTTATACGTACAGTTGTAAAGATTTGACTTTCCTATGTAATCAAACTCGTCGTCGTGTGTTGAAGGTCCTCAGCGCTCATTGTGTGCGCCAAGAATTTCCATTTTTAAGCGAGCATTTGTGTGGGGAAATTCTACAGCCTCGTCAATCATCAGCCAAAATCAACAGTCCAATATACAACAACAACAACAACAAGATTCAATCTATACAAATGAAGAGGATGTGATGGCAGTCTCGACCTGTAACATAGAGAAGCTACGGCATTTTCACCAATTCTCTGCCAGATTGATCTATGGATACTTACCACTAGAAACGGTAAGACATTACAGTCCAGGATATCCGCATAGACAGTGAGTGCTCTTATGTTACAAGGGAGGTACAGTAAACATACGGCGATTCTTGAACTTGAAGGGAATCATTGCTATCCATCTTTTGTCATAGAATTGGCAGATTAACAATACCTCAATAGGTATCAGTGTGTACATGATTGCTCTGAGGTAACTCCTTGCCACACCTTCTTCCCCCTCTTCCCACAATGGAGGCGAGACATTGAGAACTCATATGTACCTCACATACACAATCTTGTCTATGCATTCTCAGAATCAAGCACATTGCGTTGCTCTCCCGCTTCTACCTTATACTAAAGGCGGATCACACAAAGACAGTTGGTGCGCAATGAACGATCACGTGTCAGTTTCACAGAGCTTCACGTGAGAAAGTCTCACGATTACCCGTTTTTGGGTCGAAATCTGGAGGTAGTCAGCCTGTATGACTCCTTCCTTATTCAATCACCCATGGAGTCTTCATTTTTTATTTGTTGACCCCCCTACGAGCAAATTGAGTCGCAGGAATGCTTCGAATCACACAAATTGGCATTGCAACAACACAGATGGAGATGCTCCGGAGCTCAAAACCCATCAAATATCGTAGGGAAGAGGCATGGCTTGAAATTTCACAAAGGGATAACCAAGTATGCGCCTGAGCTCGATGAATATTCACCGTAAGACAAAAGTTGCTTCGAGAATTTCTAAATTCTCGTTGAGGATAGGTTCGTGATTCGTCCTCGAAAGCACATAAATTTTTTCTTGTGAGTTCTTTGTATTGAGAATTCGCTGTAATTTCCTGAATATTTCTTAGATGTACAAGAAGCACTTTTGTTAATTATACCCCATCGTTTCTCATTAAATTATAGAATCTTTTAAACGGATACAGTATAATCAAATCACTCCTGCCACTAACTGGGTGCCTCCCCTACCGCCATTGTGTACAGATAATGATCGATCACCTAAATCACACCAAAACTTATTCTTAGAACAATCAAATTTTAATACAGTCAAATCCTAATTAATAGAATATATTTATATAATTTTATATAATTTCGATTCATAATTTCAAAAAAATGAATAATTTATTTTTAAGATTTTTGTTAATTATATTATATAGTTTTGAAATAACGTGGTTTATTAGTATATAGCTCATATCAATAAGTAGCCCACCTTATTTTACATATAAAATTCGTCTATATATAACCATATACTTTATTTACTTATTTATTAAATCTTTTAAAATCTGAATATATAAAATTTAATTATAATTATATTATAAAAATCTAATCTCTTTTTAAAAATTCGAATTAGTATAAGAATTATTATAGAAATAGTTTTTTTGTAACGAAAATCGTAACAATTTCTACTTTTTTTAGAATATAATAAGAAAATTTATATTAAAACTATATATTTAAAAACCTAGATTTTTATTATTATTTAATATTCTTTTTTATTAAGAAAATAATAATTAGTTATTAAAATATGATTAATAAAAAAAGCTCAATTTTGATGCATTTTTGAAATAGGCCATATACTAATATAGGCCATGTACTAATAAACCACGTTATTATAATATAAATTATAACATAAATACGAGTCCTGGGTATTATGACCTGCAGGAACGATATTATAGGAACTATAAGATTTAAAGGTAGCCAGAAATAAGGGTAACCGGATAAACAATTAATAAATGTGAAAAGATAGGCATCTATCTTTTCTAGATACCTACCTTTTAGTAAGCACAAGTTAGATAAGCAGTAGTCTTACTAGGTCACGAGGACAAATATCACATGATAAGGAAGTCGATTCGACTTGTCGATACGATCAGAGTATGAAGATCTATATAAGGGAATTGGTTTCATTACAATATAGAGCTTTGTGCTCAAGACAATCATTAGTTTCATACTATAATTACAAGAATTGCAATCAGTTACAACCTTATTGAATTCCTACTTGAAGTCTAGTCTAAACCACCTCGTGAGATCTCTAGACACTTCCACGTGACCCTATAGGTAGCTCCTGTAACAAATTGCCCCATGCCCCACTCTGCATACAAACACAAGGAAGTAACTTGTTTCTACTCTTCGACTTTAATTTCGACAATCAGTCACCTGAAATCGAGCTTTCTCGCATCTCCAACCATGGAAAGTGAGGCAGACCACGCTCAAGTCACCAAGACTCAGCATGCAGATCTTGCAAGAAAGTACAAGCTGCATGGACCGAAAATCGAACGGATTTGGCGAAGCTTTGATCAGAGTCAACGAGTGAATGTTTTTAAGGTTGGTGTTGTAGAAGACGGATACTTGAAGCACTCAAAAGATCAATCAATAGGCGCCCCGTGGAAGATAGTCCCCGAAATGAATCTGCATGACATAACTACAGAACCTGAATATCTACTTGATCATCTGAGATACCGAGCTACAACGCCTCTCCTGCATCAATACATAGCGGGCATTCATGATGGTCCAGGAGATTGTATGTTCATCTTGGAGAGCATGCGCGATAAGAACCTTCGCCATACTCATGATTTCAAATACTGTTTAACTAAGTTTTACGACGAAGAGACCTATGGTCAGTCATTCAAAGCAACCACTGCTGCTAGTTATCACGAAATTACAACTAAACTCGCCTTTGCGTTTGAAAAGAGAGCTGTTGTTCCTCAAGAGGTTGGCGAATTCGTTCTCACCAGACAACTGCAAACCCTAACACACCTGAATGTGTTAGTTGCGGACATTCTGGATACCGGATCTACTACCAAATCTACGAAACCACGGCCAAAAAAGTCAAATAAGGCACTTGTTTCTGCTCTTTCAAACCTTTCCATCGTTGACTGTCAAGAGAAGCTTTCGCTAGACGACATAATCAACAACTCACTCGATCAAAAAACCGCCGTGAGCGATTATCTGGTTCTGTGTTGCTCTGAATCAGTTATTCTTCAATATATGGTCAACGGCTGGTACTTCAGTCGACCGGAACTTATACCTGATGAGAAGGGACGAATCCTCCCCTTGCTGGCCGATAAGTACATCAATACTTCGATCTTCGAGTTGATACACAATATGGCAGCTGGAGCCGCAACTTGGGATTACATGCATCGCCTTCTTCAACTTCTAGCAGAGAAGCCTGACGATAAAATTGCCAGTACAATTTTGCTTCAGGAAGCATCAAATGTAGCTCATCTCGAGTTCTGTAGGGTACAGAAAGTCTTCAAACGCTACGCAGCCTTGGGAACAGGTACAAAGTACTTCAGACGTGTCTCGGGAAAGTACGATGATGGATTTGCACGAGTATTACTCAAGCAAGATCCAGAGCTTCTAACCAGGGAGAACCCACAACTTTCTTACGTGCTCCGTCTCTGCTCCCCTGGAATTGACGTCACCAACGCACTTCCTTGGGTCAAGAAATTAGAAGATCTTTATCGTCTTCATCCTATTGAGCTATCTGAATTGCATGATGGTGTGTTGGACGCTTTTGGTGACCTGGCCGTCATCGTCAGATTTGTTGAAAATCTTTCTGCAACTGTTACTCTGCCAGCAAAGAATGCTAGAAGAGGACAGATATACGCATCAAGACTCAAGAACTTATTGGGCGAGCTTGAACCATTAAAGCATGAGGTTGATCTTTCGAAGTTTGCAGTACCCATGGAAAACCTTCTTGAGCCAGGAATGACCGAAGGCGCTGTTGATGCTCTTGATCAGTTTACAGCGGAACGTATGGGCACGAGGACAGGGTTTCTGTACCAGGATCTTGTTGATGATTGCGTTTCTCAGGTTCAAACTCACTATGAACAGCAGAAAGACAGGGTGGCACAGATTGGGAAGAGGCCTCCTAAAACTTTTGAAGACCCCGCTTTCGAGACTACGGGTCCAGATATCCTCATTCAGCAACGAAGACAAAAGGACAAGACTCGACCCACAAATGTCGCTCCTTACAATCTCATTCAAGACGATACTGAATTTGCACAAGCAGAAACTGTGGAGTTGCCTCGGGTATTCAAAGTCAACAAAAACACGGCGCAGGTCTTCTCCACCATGTTCGCCAAGTCTGAAGCTCGTGGTTCAGTCAGCTGGATTTCATTTGAAACTGCAATGGTCGATTTGGGGTTCTCTGTCATTCCGAAATTCGGATCGGTGTACACTTTCTCTCCAGCAGCAAAGGATGTAGGTCGTGAGAAGTCCATCACGTTTCATCGACCCCACAAGTCGGAGATTGAAGGATGGAAGTTGGTCATGTTTGCTAGTCGATTGAAGAGGGTTTATGGATGGAATGAACAATCTTTCACGGTTGCCTGATGAGAGTGTAAGGTCTTTGACAGCGGCTTGGCGTGGGAGTGGGCAATATTCAGACGGTATTGTTAGGGGCAGACTTCGAGCAAAGATCTTGTCACTATCAATGGGGATAAATAACTTTTAAGTATGTAGTACCAAGTAAATGTAATTGATATTGCCAACTCTTCCATATATCTCAAATATTAGGTAATTGTGAAGTACTGAGAAACAATGCTACTTTGTTGTATAGATAGATCACAAAAAACATATGTGGTTTATGCAGGGCCAGTAGTAATGTTTATTCCAGGATTTCCTGAGTAGCCGAGTCAAGATGGACAAAATTATGGACCAAGCACCCAGCATTGAGTAAATTGCATGCGAGTTGGAAAGAAACTGTCGGTTCCTTGTAAAACAACATCGTAAGAATGCTGCGAAGATAAGAATGCTGCGAAGATAAGAATGCTGTGAAGACATTGGAATGTCTGAAGAGGGCTAAATGCTAAAAATATCAGACCATAGAGAAACGAAGGGACTCAAGAATTAAACGCATAACTTAGGAAAAGCTCCAAACTTTGTGATGGACCCTTAGCCTCACAATATTTTCTGTTCAGATGTGAGCAGAGTAAATGACACATTCGTAGATAGAATCAAAGGTGAGCTTCGAGATCATTTGAAGAATTAGATATAGTGATGCGTTAACAGAGACTGTTATCTGCAATTCAAGCGTGCGAGGTATACCAAGGAGTGGTGTGTGTATGGTTGTAGAAAGGTCCCAAACATATTCCGAAATAAAGAGGTTTAAAGAATGAGGGTGATGCATTACCCCTTGCGCGGTTAATCTTGACTATAAGGCGGCGCGATCATGTAAATGCTAAGATCTTGGGATTAGTTAAGAGGCGATGTTATTCATGGCTTAGTACCGCCGAGAGTAGTGTCGGTACAGTGAAGAAACCAGAATGAACTAGTATATATTTCAAAATTTCTTCCAGACTTTCAGCATCCAAAATTGAAGCTGAATAAAATAACAGCCGCTCATAGAATACATTGAACACTACGAGATGAGAGATCGCAGCCTCTGAAATGTTGCGGATATCGGATAGTGGTCACCTACAGATACTGATAGTATAATTGACATTCAATTAAATTTGCTGTTTCATTACCCTTAAGAGCAATAGATTGTAGGAGGTGCTAAGATTAGTTCGAATTTCTCCTCGTCCATTGATACGCATCATCAAGTTTAGCAAACTTTATTCAAAAATCTTCAGGCTCGTGGAACGCAGGGCAGTGGTTCTCTTTGGGGCCTATATCTATGCAGTCATGATAGTCTAATATGAGAGACAAGAAACCCTTCACCATCGCTTCTTCACCCGGATGCACTTACCGTTATTCTAGAATGCAAAGTTACGGAGACCAACTGTGGTTAATCATTCACTTGTGAGCTTCCAATTCGGAATGCCATATTCTCTATCTAGCGATCGCATAGACTGAGTTGGCACAGAAAGATAAATATCCTCTGATGGCTCATGTCGCATTTATTGGCAATGTGATGTGCAGATTAAGATCAGATTACCACTCCTGTTCGGCACTGACATTGAAAGATGGGAGCTGGGTGATGTAGAGTATGATTCGTTTGCGCTATGAGTATTCGAAGGAGGAGAGGAATAGTTATTAGAATATCTTCTAGAAGTAGTCAAGTCAAGAATTGCCTTGGAAAATGATGAGATACGGCTTCTGCAGCAAACTGGGATACCCGAGGAAGCGAAATCTGCAGAAATCGAAGTGACAGTAATTCGTAAATGTCAACTGCAAATCGGCCACGTGTGAATTGCTAGTGAGAAAGATACTCCTGAAATTTCATCGGTTGGAGTGTTTGATACTGCTTGAATGACCGATGACGAAAATATCCTTCGACTTGTCAGTATACTGTAGTAGAAGCATGTAATATGGGATCCATGACAAATACTTGATCTATCGACAAACAGCGTCACATTGGCAGCCTTGTAAAATGGGAGCTAGTTGGTGTTTCAAACTTTCATGCCTTCATTCATACCATAATTGAAGCAGCACAGAAAGGGTTAATTGCGGAATTGCTGTTTCCGGCCAATATAGATATGCTGTTTGGCGAAGCCTCGCGCCTTTTCGAAGGGCGACGAGAAGTAAAAAATAATTGTGAATCGATACCCCTCATTACTCCTAGCTCGCATCTGCTTGCACCGTAGTAATAAGTTGGACACTTTAGTGCGCTACCACCATAGTATGAAGTTGATTGGAACTCGTAATTTTGAATGAGAAATTCATAAATTTACTGTTCTCTTGATCAGAAAAGTTGAGTGGTCTTTTATTCGAGAAGAGACGCCTCTCGGTAGCAAGACTACTAAATGCCGAGTTCAATTGTAAGCTGATACGAGAGTAATTTCAACTGAGAGATATGTCCTTTCTTCCAGATGCCGGAGAACTTGATGTTAGTTCCAATGTGATGTCTCAATGCAAATGCTGTGGTCCTGGCAAGCTTACACATATTGAATCGACAAGTGGTGTACATTCTACCTTCCAAGCCTGAACGACAGAAAGAGTTCTTGTCTCTGCTGGGTGAAGGTAATGCGTTACAGCTTCATCTGAAAACAATGGAGTGAAAAACAATAGAACAAGAACGGTGTCTCGAGGTGAGGGCCGTAGAAGGCAAGCGATACTGCCCTATCACATCAAGGCTAAGACGGAGATAACTACATAATAGTCAGGATAAAGTACGTGTTCTTCAAAATTGACGATCTTGGCTATACCCTTCACTCATGTTTCTTTTCTTGGTCACCCTGCAGTACCTGTAGCGAAGGCAGGGTGATACACAATAGGATAATGCAGCAACCGACCAAAAAGGCAGGCAGAATAAGACGAACATGGCACAAGAGGCAGTGAGCACTTGGCCTATGTCTACTATACGGAGGACCCCGGTAAAGACGAGAATATTTCCGTTGCAAACATCGTAGATCGTGATGTTGTGAATCCCAGGAAATTTTAGGAATTCCAGATGATAGTTTTCAAACACTTGTCATGAAAACCACCAATATACAGAAAGACATTCAATCATCCAAAAATATATGAGAACAGTTTTGAGAACACATCTCAAGAACATAATTTTAGGCTATGCAAAAAGCCTCTCAAAATTCCAAAAATTCCCAAGACCTTCGGTCCCGAATCCTTTCGTCCCATTATCCATACCAAGCCTCCCCCCAACCGGAAATATACATCCGTACTAGTACGTGCCACTCGCACACAGGAAAATGTCGTCGTAAGCTTTACCCGTGATAATGGAAACACGAACTCTGCAAACCAACTAGAATGAAGAAAAAGTGTTTTGTTGCAAGTCTGAAAATTTGCCCAGCTTTTTGCTTTTCCTTACTTGGCTTGGTTTGCAATCGAAAGATGTGAATTGGTGGAACTTTGCACGCTTTTGTTTGTATAAATGGTTATGTCAGGATGGATTGGTGGTAGAACTAAGGTTGTGCATGCTTTGTTCCCTTGTTTCCTTTCTTTTATTCCCGCCAGTAGATGTTTGATTTGAAGTCTTGGTGAGATTGAAGAACGTTACTCAGTTGGTAGAGCGGATGAAACGTTAAGAGATGTTGAAGGAAATCGGTCTACGTTTGTCACGTGCGCGCGCGAACTTTTCAAACACGAACTATTACTTGTCTGTCGTGATTGGATTTGAGACCTTTACCTTATGAGATTGTCAAACGCGTCGACTATACTACCAAGAATGAGAGCAACTCATGTACTTTATCAATTATGGAAAACACTCACTTAAGCATGATGATTTATGATTCCGAAGACCTTACATTTTGAGCATTCAGAGGGATAACATGATTCCTTGAAATGGCCATACGTCTCACAACTCCCCGCCTATCAAAGTGCGACAATTCACCTCCCGAGAATTCTCGAAATGGCTGAAATAGATCACATGGCTCAGAAAGAGGTATCGCATCCTCCAGCACCAGCTCGTCCAATAACAGCAGATCAATTGCTTGACTTGGAAGAGCGGCAACGGACGCTATTCAATGAGAAAGATAATGGACCGGCACGAATCAAAACGGGATGTCAGGAAATTGATGAATATGTTCTCTGTGCCGCTAAGGATCAGTCAAATGGAGGATTCGAAAGGGGAATTGTAGTGGGGCTGAGTGCTGCTGATGGAGACGAATCGATAGGCAGTCGAGTGGTAAGTTTTTGCAATATTGTGTATTAGATTATGTATCGAACAAGGTCCTGATACATTACTATCTAGATATCTCTCAATCTCATAGCATCAGTTCTCTTACAACATATCGATTTGGTAAATGTCATTCAGAAGTCCCAGAGTGAATCGGGGAATACGACAAAGCCAAAGGTCGTAGTAATAGATACGACTGGTTCCTTTAACCTCCCTCTTCTAGTCAAAATCTTGAGATCAAGGCTCTTGAAGAGGAGATATGAGATGAGAAGTAAGGACGATATCACTATGAATCTCAATGATGGCCAAAATACAGATGAAAGTGTCGAGATCGACACACAAAAAGAGGTGAATGCATTATTGGAGCTGGTTGCCATTAGTAGAGTCTTTGATATCGAGGGGCTTTGGGAGGTTTTAAGTGAGCTAGGACAACCAAATGACCTGTCCAGAAACGATGGGGGCGATCAGGAAATACCTATCACCATACCATCACGGACCAGCAACCCCGTTGAAGGGAAAGCAGAGCAACTGCACAAAATCCCAGATGAAATCTGCGACAGCGAAGAAGAAGACATCGAATTAACACCACCACCACCACCACCGGTCAAACCCACAGCACCACTCCCAAGCTCAACAGAAACCACTCCCGAAATACTAATCATAGACAGCATGCACCACCTAATATCCCACCTCTTCACCCACTCTGAAAAAGTCTCCGCGCACAACCTCCTCTCCCTCCTATCACGAACTCTCCACACACTAACCCATACTCAAAACATCCTCACCATCCTCCACAACACTACCATTTCCACCAAATCCAATTTCACAACCCAACAACCTTCTCGTCAACCTCCACCTCCAAATCTACATCCACACCCACCTCCACCTCCAACCATCCAATCAATCTTTACTTCCACAGCCCAAAAACCATCACTCGGACGTATCTTTGACGATTTCCTCAATCTCCACATCATGATTTCGAAACTCCCAAAGAAGAGAGAAGATGCCGAGATTTTCTATTGTCGAGATGGTACCACATCTCATTTCGGGAATGAGGACGTCGCTTGTAGTTTTGTGTTTGAGGTTTTGAGGGATGAGTGTCCGGTTTTGGGCGGGGATAGGAAGTTGGGGAGGAGGTTTGGAGATAGGGAACAGAGGTGGGGGTTTTTGAGATGGGGGATGGGGATGGGGGGTGGAGTTGAGGGATGTTTTTAGGAGGGGGGGAGAGATTGGCGTGCGATGACTGGGAAAGTGTGGATATGGGGAAGGGTCATTAAAATAAAAATGATAGATGGATAGATCTTTCGCATACTCATTGTATACATACGTACATGTCAATTATTTAGCTATCTCGCTTGAAAGCACTTTATATGATATCATGGATTCTCATTCCGGTTCCAATTCCACAAATGCAATGCAATGTAATGCGATGCCTAGGTTATGCTATTACCTAAAAACAATAAAAAAGGAGACTTATCCCTTCCCTTTCCCTGTATATTCTACTTCATCTCGCTAGCCCTCAACATATCAAAACTCTCACCACTCTCACTTCCCTCTCCTTCATCCTCCTCATCTCTAAACCCGCCAACCACACCTTCAACCAAGACACCTCCCTTTCTAAACCTCTTCCTTCCAGTTTCCACCTCTTCAAGCGCTAGTCTAGGTCCATTGCCCAAGACGAATCTTCTATGCCACTCTCCTACAAACATACCTTCTGGGTCCGCATCGTTTCTAATCCTTCTCCAGTTCTCCAAGTTCTCTCCATACATAGCTTCAATATCTTCACCTGTGGTTTCGAAATTCTTAGCCCAATGAGGTTTGCCCCCTAATTCTCGCATGAGAAATTCGAATCCTTGGTAATATCTTGCATGACATGGTGGATCCATATCATATGGACGATAGAGAGTTGCGTTTAGGTAGAGAGTTGCTTCTTCTGTACATGTAGGATCGAGATGTGGACGAGGGGTAAGACTATTGCTTGTTTCTGTGACTCGGACTTCGACAGGTGCGTGAACGTATAGACCTTCTGCTGAATAAGGAATACCATGTGCGACGTAATCCGGATCTTCTGGAGTAAGATGATTAAGCCACGAACTTAATCTCTTTAAAGCTTCTGGACCTTTGGAAATTGGAATTGCCCATTCATTGACGAATTGCGAGTAAAGACAATTCATAAGGAGAGCCTGACGAGAGGGTTGAATTGCGGAACTCTTGGAACCATTTGCAAATCCATATTGCATACCAAAGACAAACCATTCTACCCATGGAAGAATACGTGGAACGTAATGTCCTAGAGCAAGAAGATTATGATAGACGTGATATCCTAACCAAGCATCATAATAAGATTTGGGAGGAGGCATGGGAGCCAAATCTGTCTTTTCAGCAGCCCAAACGACTGCTCTTCTAGTATAAGGAAACCACCAAACTCGAACAAATTCGGTTTGTGTCCAAAGTGTTTTATCCCAGTTATTCATCATTCGAAGATCTGTATCCACAGTTTGTTCCCATGAAAGAGTAAAAGCTGGTACGGCTTGGAAAGTAATTTCTGTGATGATACCGATTGCTCCCAAAGAAATGAGAGAGGCGCGAAAGAGTTCCTCATTTTGATCTGGTGAACAGGTTTCCGTTCTACCATTCGAAAGAGTAATCTTCAATTCCAAGATTGAACTTGACAAAATTCCATGTCGTAAAGTACTCCCATGAGTCCCTGTCGAAATTGCTCCAGCAATCGATTGATGATTGATACTACCCAAATTTGGCATTGCCAAACCGACAGCATCAAGTTGTTCGCCCACAGAATACAATCGAATACCACTTTGCATAACCACCACACCTGTTTCCCGATCCGCAGATAGAATTTTATTGAAATTATCCAAATTAATGAGCCAGCTCGATGTGCAAGTAATATTTGAAGGAGAATGACCACATCCTACCGTTGTAATTCTGCGTCGACATCTTCGCGCAAGGTTGACCACCTTTTCGACTTCGGCGATAGATTGTGGTTGAATGAACAATTCAGGAGATGAATGAAATGTTCTTGCCCATGTTGATTGTGTATGATTTGTTACGGCGCGGAATGGAATATCGTCGCCATATTTCTCCAATTCGGATTTGATTGCGGGGTCCATCTTTGCGCCCAGATCGACCTAGGTATATCTCTTTGAATGTTGTAAGTACGTTGTAGATCTATTCTAGAGTGTTGATTAAAACTTACCAGGTAATCTCACTAGGTATATAACTTGAGTTGCGAGAATGATTATATTCTCATCTGATATTCCCGAGAGAAGTGAAAGAAGGTAAATATTCTCCCATTTTTTGTCGCCTCTCTTTGAAGGAGGTTTGATACTTTTTTAGGCGGGGTGGTTTTGAATATGAAACTAAAATGGCTGCAGATGAGTGCATAAAAAATAAGCCGACGCCGACCATATATTATTACAATACACCAGCGATACGTCCAATGATTCAATCCAGTCCAATCCAGTCCAATTCAGTCCAGATGTTTTGATGTTTTGATGGTCTGATGGAACTAGACCACGAATGGGCTCATCGTCTGCAATCATCAGTCAAAGACCAACGAATGATAATTGGAAGTCTTTTGAATGGCTGATAGATACATATATATATTTGTAGATACACACAACATATACTGGGTAATATTATATCCTCTTGATCTACTCGGTACCATATCATATTGTATCGTATCTAGACAATTGAATGACGCTCCGCTGGCCCTTCGGGGACCACTGCCGTGGAGGCAGACTATACGAAATGAGAATATCTAGTACTTTATATCTTTGGAATTTCGAGCGCAGCGAGCTATGGGGGTTTGGGGGCTTGCCCCCATCAATAAACGCAGAATGTGAAGATGCAAAGTCACATATCGACTGATTCTACTCTGGATGTATGGAAATGATGAGTTCGTGTATCCACCGCCAATACTCCAGATTCTTCTCGCGTTCTCCTCAGGCAAAGACAACAACAACGAACGATAAAGTTTCTCGCAAGGATATACATGTTCAATTAATATACAAGTCATATCATTCCGAATATGCAAGGCGACCTGTCAAAGATCTTGATCACCAGTCATTCATTCTATCCAAGTCGTCGAGATCTACAAAAGGGTTATGTATCCACCTCCACCAATATAGCAACGATCCTATTGATGTTGGTAAAGGCTCCAAAATCTTTTTATATCTCGTGCGCCTCACATCCTGTGCAATGTACATCATTGAAGTATATTATCTCCCATTTTCAAGTACATCATATCATACATATCAAATATATCATGTCCGTTCTTCTTCTCGTATAAATGAAAATCGAGATGGAAGATTTCCCAGACTTCCCCAAAACCTCGATCCCTAACTTTTCATCTCTTTTTCCTTTTTTCCAATGCTTTGCATGAACTTCATCTGAACTATTATTTCATGGAGTCTACCCTTCGTATGCGGAACATCCGGACCCCTCTCTGCTCCATCAAATGAGGCAAACGTGTAGATATTGTGTCAATTTAACATAGGGGAGAAATTTCCATTGCATTGTATTGCTTTTGGAAGTCTATCTAAGATCTAGGCATGCGAGTAGAGACTTGGTATCTACAGACCAGACGGCAATAGCTACAACAGCTACAATATCTACCAGATCGACCATATATACAATATTCCTCTATCGGTCTGATCCTCTCTCTATACACAAAAGTACTTGTTGATTATTTCATTCTCTCTTCCTCTTCCTCTCTCTCTTCCTCTCTCTCTCTATACATCTCCATCTCCATCTCCATCTCCATCTCCATCTCCATCTCCATCTACATCTACATCTACATCTACATCTACATCTACATCTACATTTACATCTACTCTCTTCCCACATTTACTGCACATCACATCATCGAGATCTCAACTGTTCACATTCTTTTATTCTTTTATTCTTTTATTCTTCCACCATCTTATTCTATTCTCTTCTTTTCCCAATACAATGAAATAATGGTTAATGTCGCCCTCTCACTCACGTTATCAGCTGGAATGTCTCCTACACCAACCAGTACATTTTGCGGTCTTCATCGTCCCTCACATTCTCACTCCAATCTAAAGAAAGACGCCGCCCAACAAGATACTTCCGACGCGGTTTCCACTACTTCCTCTAAGTTCCGCAAACAATTAGTAGCAAATGCACGACCTCTCCTTCTCCGCCGTCGCGATACCTCAGGTACAACTCAAAGTCTCCCAAATTTGAGTTCAAGTTCAAGTTCAAAATCAAAATCAAAGTCGAGTCTTCAAGATAAAGATAAATTCGACAGCGTCGACAATTCACATTCTTCAATCCCAGTACCACCCGGTCGAAATCTCAAATTAAAGAAATCCCAACCACCCGGTTCCAGTTCACCCAATTTTTCTCTCCCACTCAATAATAATAATCCAAAACGACCATCCGCCGACTTTCAATGGGCGCGTGAAGATCAATTGAGTGTTATTTTAGAATATTTGGAAGAAACTACACGTAGCGGAAGTACTCCCAATTCAGAGACTGCCGATCCATTAAGTCATTCCAATCCAGCAACTCCGCTCGCATTACCGCATCCCCCTCAAACAAAAACCCCACCTCTCGCAATCCCCGAAACAATACGAGAAAACTTGTCTCCGACACCTACATCATCACCTCGCACACCAAAGTTTAATAAAATCGGTGTTCGTGAACGCGCAAGCAATTCGAAAATTCCAAGTTATTCTTTTTCGAGAACTCCTTCTACACCTTCGACTCTCAATACCGCTTTTACAAATTCATCAACACCTTCCAGACCCCAAAATCTGATAAGAAGAAGTGAACAACGAAATCTGGAGGATAAATTTAGAGAAATAAGAGAAGGGTTGAGAGATAAAGATCGTGCCGACCCAATTGATTTTTCAAGTAGCGCATTGGGAATCAGAATGGCTAGCAGTATTGGTAGTGAAAGGGGAACACCGGAGACGGTACCTAGACCCATTGCGCATCCGCCAAAAGATGTAAGTACCTTCTTGTTTTATTTTTTGGTTCCGAAGATGAGATGGCGGAAGGGGAAGTCGAACGAGAGGGAATGAATGGAATCTTCTATTCTAGTTGCTCTTCTTTATGGGGGCAAGCCCCCAAACCCCCTTTTGCTCGCTGCGCTCGATTATTTCTTCTACGAAACTAGTCGGCCTCCACGGCAGTGGCCCTCGGAGAGCCAGCGGAGCGTCATTCATAAGTTTTATTATGGCAGGCAATGCCCATTCTATTCCAAAGTGGTACATCACATATCTCAACCGATAACCACCAGATCAAAACTTCCATTTCACACCTCAACCCCATTAATTCATTCCACTGAACTATACTAACATCACCTCTTTCACAGCTCGAATCTATAGCCCGCATAGACTCCTCCCTAATCTTCGAACATTTCACCACCTCCGATGCCTGGGTTCTCGGATCCGCTCTCCGCGAGCGTCTCCTTCCTCACCCAACTCCAGTCGTTATTTCCATCTCTCTTTCAAATGCCAATCAAGTTCTTTTCCACTGCTGTACCCATTCTGGAACCATGCCCGATAATGATTCTTGGGTTTCGCGAAAGAGAAAGACGGTTTTGAGATGGGGTGTTTCAACATGGTATATGTGGTGTAAATTTGAAGGGGATGAGAGTGCTTTTGCGCGCAAATATGGGTTGGGGAATGAAGCGGGAGAGTATGCGATTCATGGGGGTGGAGTACCAATTAGAGTTACAGGTGTGGAGGGAGTGGTAGCTTGTGTGGTTGTTAGTGGATTGAAACAGTGGGAGGATCATGGGGTTATTGTGGAGGTCATTAGGGATTTGTATTATTGAGCGGTTTGCGGATTTGTGGATGAATGAATGAATGAGGACGTCTAGGCGAGAGAAGAAGCGAGGATAGAAGCGGCGTTTTTATATCCCGCGACTTGCATATAAAGGATGGATGCATGGATGCATGGAATTACTGGATGTTTTAAACTTGGCTTGGGTGATTCGATATGGTTTGGTTGAATGGTTCGCATTGTTTACGCGCGTTAATGAATGTGCATGTGGTATATGTTGAAAGGGGAAGTCGAGGGAAGTCAAGGGAAGGGAAGGGAAGAGCAGCGATGGTTTAATGATAAAAAAGAAGAAAGGTCATCCGCAAGAATGGAATGGGATGGAGAAAAGGGTGTTTATGTATGTTATATAAATGAGTATACCCAAGCCTATCAGTGGCTATGGCGATGAACTGAATTTCAATCAAATGATATATTATATAGTGTTTTGTGTGGAACGATGTGTGGATTGGTAGTTTGTGTGTTTTTTTGTTGTGAGGATGTTAGGTATGTATGTATGTATGTATGTATGTATGTATGTATGTATGTATGTATGTGGTTATTTGAGTACATGGATGATTAGGTAGTTGAGTAATCATATAGATAGGTAGGTAGGTAGATAATTAGAATTTAGAGAGAAAAATGATTAGATGATAAATAGATAGTCCAATGTATTAACTAATTTATCTATCTATCTAGTCATATATCCAAACTTGTATTACAATACTCGGATATATTGTTATATGATATCATTTTATAGCACAAGACCTTCCTACATTATAATATGTTATACCGCATTATATCACATCGCATCGCATTACATTAAAACCCTTTACATGTATTCTTCGCTTATTTTCTCTGCCCCCTCCCCCTCCCCCTTTCTATCTCAGGGTTCAGAGTTCAGGGTTCTCTATACTCTATACCATCTCCCTCTCCTACTTTGTTGTTGGATATACTGGGTAGGAATTTATATTTGTTTGTTACACATATACCGACATACAAACAATTCTCTTCAGGTCCTCGTCTTCTCATTACCGTCATCTGTTATCTTCTTCTCGGGGGTGTTTGGGGAGATTAGATTATGATGAGTGTGCTATGGATAACAACTCTTATATGACGAGGGATTTAGATGAAGAATAACTGAAATGTTATTTATTCATTGGATTTATCTAAACAGCTCTAAAATCTCTCTAATTACCTCTTTAAGTATCAAATATCAGTAAATATCTATCTCAGTCTCATAAATCACTCATTTATTTCCCCTCCTTTTCCTTCTCATCTTCCACAGAATTCTCAACCACATCCACCATAAACGCACCTCCCAGCAAAATAGCCGGTTCCTCTAAACTCTTGTGTTCATAACTCAACGTTCCTACGCCTCCCGCCTCGAGCAAAAAAGTCGGTCCATCCTGTAACGTCTTCCCAACCCATCTCATCGCAAACGCTCTCAATATGTGTCCATGCGCTACAATCAATACGTCTCCCGGTCCCGCTTCCTTTTTATCTTTCCCAATCACAGGACCGTGGTACTTCTCTCGAATGTCTGAGATGAGAGCATCGATCCGTTCGGTGACTTGTTCGGGGGATTCACCGTCGGGACAACCGTCGCGCCAAATATCCCATTCGGGAAGTCCGGCGGCTTTGCGATCAGAACGGATTTGTACAGAGGTGATTCCTTCATAAGAACCATAATCCCATTCCCGAATGTTTTCGGTGATTTCTACTTTTGCTGATGTGCGGATTCCTAGGGTTTGGGATTCAGCAGGTGTTGATGTGCATATTAGAATTCAAGAAGTAAAATTGCCCGGAATCAGAAGAGCGAGGTAAGGAAACGAATATTCACCAGATTCAGCATGTTTTCTTCGTTCTTCCCATGGAAGTTTCTCGGCACATCCTACTTCGAGGAGCTCGAGGGTTCTTTGGGCACGTTTCCGTGGGGAGACATAGCTGGACAGTTGTTAGAATTGTGGTTTGGCTTATTTCTTTAACAGAAAATAGAATATTCGAGCGCAGCGAGCAAATGGGGGTTTGGGGGCTTGCCCCCATGAATAACAGTCCAATAATTAATGAAAGACGCTCCGCTGGCCCTTCGGGGACCACTGCCGTGGAGGCAGACTAAGAGAAGATAGGAACATACATGTGAGCCAAATTTCTAGGAACGATCAATCGATCATCACCAATTAGTGCTCTTCCCGTTGCACGAATTCTCTTTTCTCCATTGGCAGTTAAAGGAAGTTCTGTGATGCCTGTATGGCGACCATTGAGAGACCATTCGGTTTCACCATGACGGATCACGAAGACTCGAGGAGTGGTCATTGTGTAGGAGGATGTGATGTGATGTTTATTTGTCTTTTGACTTTCAATTGAGGGGTAGAGGGGATGCTTGTTTTGGCGTAGATTGTTGATTTAAGTTATGGGATAATGTATTCAAAAATGAACGGCGTGTTTATATAAAGTAAAGTCTATGACTCAATTAGCATGTATTCGATTTTGATAAATTCCAACATCATTTCCATTTCTTCCGAGTCCCAAAATCAAACCTCTCCTCTTCTCCTCTCTCCCTCACTGCGCAAATACAAGTAGCGGCAGTGCAGAAAACCAACATAATTGAATCTACCTACCTGGCTAATTATCTGTGCCTCACTTGCTCCTTCGACTTCGAGAATCCAACAATAATTATCTCAAAAGGCCAAGTATTTTCCAAGAAAATAACATTCATTCACATCAATACAGGTCAAAAATGACAAATTCAGATCAATATGCAAGCAGCTTATTACACAATCCCAAACCAAAACTATGGGATTTCTGCCCCTCACTTACACGTCGAGACACCAATGACGTCGATTTGAGCTCCGTGAACTCCGTACACCGAACGCGAATCGGAGGAGTGGTGTTAATTGGTGAGGAAATGGAGATGGAGATGGCGTTTCGATGGAAGGAAAGAGGAAATGAGAATGTGAAAGAGATGGAAAGGAAAGAGAAACAGAAGAAGGAAAACATCAAACTTACTAATACTGGAGAGAGAAGGAAGAAAGAAGAGAAAGTAGAGAGAGAAAAATCAATGGATGAAATTTGGAAGGGAGTTTGGATTTGATTTTCTGTTTCTCGAGTTATCTACCTATCTACCTACTGCGACCGACTACTTTATCGGGCAATCGGAAAAGTCCAAGATCTTCGGTCAAGTTTGAACCCGAGATTGATTTTTCTAGAGCTTCAGTGTCAATCACCAAACGATAAACTTTGCGACGACTTAGTCAATTGCTGAGTACCTCGGCCAGCGTAAAAATGTCAACGTCACAGCAAGTACTCAAATTGAAAAGGATAGTATGGACGGGTGCAATTGCATCAGTTACAGTCGTGGGCACAATATATGGTGCTGGGTTGAAAACGCAGGGAGAACAAAAACAGGTACTTTCCTCTCATTGAGATCTATGACCTCAACTCCCCCTACATCTTCAAAAATAAAAGCTGACCTTTCATCTCCCTTGAAGCAAATTCGCAAAGTCCGCGAGGCCCCAATCTCTGAACGAATTTCCCATCTCGAAGAACAGCGAGGAGTATTGGTGGGTAAAAGAATGGGGTTGCAAAAGAAAATTGAAGAATCACAAATGAGGAGGAATGGGGCAACGGTTGAAGAAAGCACCAGAGGAATGGAGAGGAAGAGGGGAGAAAATGTTGGGTTGACGATGGAGGGGGAGAGGAAGACGACAAGGGTGGACATGGAGGATAATTTGCGGGTGGTGGGGGTAGAGACGGAGATTGAAGAGGGGAAAAAGGGAAGAGAGAGGAAGAGGACTTGGTGGTGAGGGGAGTGTATGCTTAGGGATTTGAGGCATTTGGGAGAAGAGGCATGGTATCTATACGGTAGCGAGGACTTTTGCGATGGAGCTACGCTTTGATTATAAGCTTCGATACCTTCATGGACTCGAGAAGAGGGAGATTGACGATGGCGAATACATCACGTAACGAAAGAGGAAGAGATTTATAGTCAGGCCGGGATAGCCATACTATGGGGGCGGCAGCATAGAAATCGCAAGTCATCAAGAAAAGAAGGAAAAGGGACTTGGCGGCCGAATATCGAGACAAGCAGTTTACATCTAAACGTGAAAGAATGCAAGAAGACTCTCGCCTCGATCACCGCAAAAGGAACCACCTGAAACTTTCCTGGCCGGTTCAACATCCTGTATGAACCAACTACCTCGCACTTTCAAGCACCGAAAGGTGAGCTTTGGAATTGGGGTCGAAACACCTTCGTGTCTGGGGAAATTTACCCGACAGAACATCTGGATCAGATACAAGCTATTAACACATATCAGTTCCGATAGATGGCAAATATGAAGCTTACAGTTAGCAACTTTAATGTTCCTAGTACTCATGGGGAGGATGTAGATATTACTACACAGTCAATGATACCTCCCGCGACAATATCATCAGATGATTTGTATATCAATGAAACACTGAGACGATGCGAAGCTGCCTTCGCAGATAATATCGTCTGAGATGATCAACAAGCTGTTTGCAAGTACGTTCCTTAGAATTTACATGCGCGTGCTATACAATCGTTCAAGCAGTTCTATCGCAGTCCCTGGCATCTTATTATATAGAAAGTTGCTCATTCAAAGTGCATATTCATTGAATTCTCATTTTCATATATGAGAGTGATATTATGGACTCAGCAGATCCATCATTATTACACTAGGCATAGATATCTTGACAAAGTGTACTGATATAATGGGGTTATATGTTTGCAATTGCAGTCATTCGTGCCTTGACCATTTTATATTGTATGTATGATTTAAGCATTACTACTATAGTTCTTGGTAGAATTCTCTACCGGTCAATGCCCGATGTCAAGAAGAATCCGTCCGTCTACTCGGTATTCCCCTCATAACTTGCTCTTTTATCTCCAGAATCTGCCACATCTCTCATGGCAAAAATGCGAGAAGGGAACCTTGATAGTAATAAGCGTCATCTCACATTCTTCTCACACCTCGATCCTCGATCTCTACCGTGCAATCCACCACTTTCATCAAATTACGTCTACATGTCACCCGTCACAATTTGGGGAATCCTAGTCGTGTAACACAAGCTGAAGATGCGATAATGTTGGATATATAACATAGCTCATCATTCCAAGTGACAATTCATTGATCGTTAGATGTAAATGCACAACGACCCGTAAACGAGAAGCAGGGTAACTCTAACTTACCATGAATTTGCGTGAGGTAATATGGAGGTGATGTGTGTATCTTAAATCGTGTTGTGCGGTGAGATGAGATGTGCTAAAATGCGCTGAAATTGACGAGACTTGCAACACATGGAAAGGGGAATGGTACTTAGCTTGGAAAGATGGGAGGTATGGCTTGCGATAGTGAAGTTCTAGTATTTGCTAGAAGAGGTGAAGGTGATGGTTTCCTTCTTCTTATGACGGGACAGAGGGGCTGTGGTGGAGTGGGATAAATTCGAACAGGAGCTAGTGGGAGTAAAGTGTTTGGCTGGGATATGGAGTCGTGTTGTCTGAATTTTGCGAATTCTATCGATAAGCCAGGGGCAGATTTGTATTTCGATAAGCTATTAGTGATAACTTGATGAGCTTCACAATTACTTGGAGTATTGAAGGGAGTGTTTTGTTATACTACTGTATTAGGCGGAGTAAGTTCCTACGCGGCGCTTGTTGACTGTTTGTATTATGTATATAATTATATATGTATCTAGACCTGTATTCGATATCCTATCTGTGCGAGTTGTTTCAGACCCTGCGAAACCCCATTGAATAGAAAGCACTTACTATCTCAAAAGATGATTATACTCTGTCCAGAGCTTTACCACTCACTCACCAAGTTTCGGCCACTTGATCCAGCTCTTGATTGCCTTCCAAGAATCCTCCGCTCTCTTAGCATGTTCATCTGGGACACTATCTCCTTCTTCAGCCATCGACCTATTGAACAATTCCATACTAACCCATCCTTGATAACCCAAACACTCCACAATAATTCTCGTAACCTTTTCAATCGGTAGATACGCCCCCCTTTCACTCTCCGCAGCAAACAACCTCGCATTCCTACTCCAACTCATTCGCGCAGGTTGTTCATCATCCCAAAATGCATGCCCCTTTACTAACGGCTCTTGCATTTTCTCCGCATCAACAACTTGGATATAGTAAACTTTCTTCACGTCAATAGTCTTTGCCAATCTCTCCAAACTTTCATTCAACGCTTTCTCTGCATTTTCAGTTTTTCCGTCACTAGAAGATGGATCACCATATACTCTCCCAGCAATATTAAACGTATCTAAAACCAACCCGAAATTTTCTCGATCAACTCTCGTCACGAGATCCCATCCCGATTCCCACGTGTCGAAAAATGTACTCCAGCATAAATTCTCGTAGGCGAAGCGCACAGCTGGTTCCTCTTTCGCACCCATGTCGGCCACTTCTTGCAGATCCGAAATAATGATATCCATATCATCCGTCAATTTTTCTCGGGGTAAAAAGTTCGCGGGGATCTGGACGAGATCCGTTCCTAAGATCTTCACAATTTTGAACCAAAGTTTTATTTTTTCAATCTTCTCTCTATGCTCGTTTCTATCTTTCAAGCCCTCGTAGAAGGAAAATGGTTGCAGTCCGATGATAGTAATGTTTCGCTCGTCACATAGCGCTTTTATGGTGGATGCAGCATGGAGAAGAGCTTCTGGAGAGGGTGTCTCGGTGTTTGATTCGGTCCGTGCGAGATATTCGAGATCTTCGTAGAATATCTCGAGACCGAGGATGTGGTGGTTGGATGCGGCGGAGAGTTTGATGGGCATGGAATGGATCCAGGCGCGACCTAGTGACATGGAAGATATAGCGGGTTTGAGGCCGTCCATTTTTATTGGTGAGAAAGAGGGGATTACTTGATGATTTTTGGGGGCAGTGGAGAAAGTAGGAATAGTAAATGAAGAAGAATCAGAAGAAGGGAATTGTGATGTTATAGATAGCTTTTTTGAGGTTGATTGAATGCGAAGTGCTACTTCGATGTTATCCCAGCTTTGACTTATAGAACTGGACCCCACGCTGCTCTATGACGACACTCACTTGAGCCGCTGTTGAGCGTCTCCCCACATAGTTGAGAGAGAAGGGATTGGGAGGAGTGTTGGTTCCTTTCTCCTGAATACCTAGGTCAAGGTAGTTAACACTCCGCCCCCCCCCCTTTCCAAACATTTCAAGCTCTATGGGTGTCGTTGTATGTCCTATAGGAATTTGCAGGAGTTTCGGCCTTCCAGCTTACATAATACCATCATGTGATCATCAAGCTATTCTCTTGTCTTGTTGAGCGGCCGAACGATATTTACGAAATGAAATGATGGATTGTTGGAAGAATACAAAACTGAAATGGTCGTAGAGATGAGAGGTTTCGAAACCACCAAGCTTCTCTAGTCAATTCCTTGTCGATATCAGGGCTGTTGTCGAATACGTTCTGATCGATATCGCCATCGCGATTTTTGCTGTCGTTTTCCTATTTTATTCGAAGAGCAAACGGCATCTTGGATGCGGTTCATTTTATTCGTCAGAGAAACTTTGCTACAATTTCTTGGAGCCAATCGGAATGAAGCTTTTTGTCGTTGGCGATTATTGCGTGTGGTGGTTTGCTGTCAAGTGACTGGTATCTCATTCGAGTGAAAACTTTGGTTGATGGGATACGAAACGTTGGATTGCTTGTCAGTACATGGGTCAACGGCTACTGTCGCTCAGAATGTGAGAAGTCGCTGTTGCTTTCTTTTTCGTAGAGACCTGCAGTCAAGGTCGCGTACTTATTGTATTTGCTCATCGATGGTTATCCATGGTTGTTGGAAGACTTGTGGTGCACCATCGTTGAGAATATTCCCAGGGGACTTATCTTGAGATTCATCGAAGAGTGCTGTGTATATGGTGAGGTTGCGACAGTATTTCAGGCTCCTAAAATGGGGTATTGGATCTGGAAAGTTTTTGACGCTTATTTGTACTGGGAAATAGGGACTTCTCTTTTAGAAGGTATGTCTCCTTTTGATCTTGGTTCGATTTATGGCTCTTTTGACTCTATTCATTAAACAGGGGATCAGACCTCTATTCAAATAGAGAAGTGACCCTATATCTTCCAAACAGTCACTCCGAGATTTAACTCTCCCAAATATTGTCAGAAAAAATATATAGTATATATGCTTTATGTCTCTGCAACTTGAGGTCTACTCCGCTGGTGCGGGGAAGATAGGAGGAAGCGCATGACCTCCATATCAATTCACTAATTCATCTACATCTGCTTATTCAAATACTTCTCTACTTTGTCCCTATTTAAATCAGTACTCTTCTTCTTCTGCACTTTGTACTTTGGTCAACTACAGTCACACTGTAAATGCTTCGACTTACTCGCACATCATTGCTCGTCTTCGTCCTGATCTTGAAGCTTCCCCTGCATCACTCAGAAGTTCCTCCTGCTGTTGTTCCAGCAAATCCGAAGCAATGGCTACTGCACCGGGTCCCAAACATCCAGATCTTCCCGGTTTAATCTTTGGCTGCCCCCCTTCTAAACATCGGACAAGCTCCATGAGACGCCTGCTTCGTCGCTATAATGTTCAAGTGAATGGCAACGAGAGAAAAGAAGACACACTTCATAAGCTTGTTGAGCTCGAGAAATCTATCGGAGAGAGAGAAAAAGAAGCACTTGTGAACTGGTTCGCTGGTGAAGGTACTTACAGAGCTCTCGCAGCTTTGCTAGGTGATGCTATGAAGGTAGTTGTTCTCATTTGATCCGATACTTTATATCATATCAATGCCTCAAAGGCTTTTATGAAATTGCTAATTTTCGGGTATTCTAGCCGCCGATCACACCAAAAAACATTGGTGAACCAGCAGCCAGGAAAGCGAAGCTCGAGGAATCTGATGATGATATTATCTTCGCCGCAGTCAATGAGTGTAGGATTTGCATGGAAAACCTAACACCAGAAATGTTCCCACAAACTCGCATAAGTAGCACGTGTGCACACCATCCAGCGGTCTGTAATCAATGCTTGACTAAACACATCAACGATCAAGTTCAAACCAAGGCCTCAAATCAGATTTCATGCCCCGAGTGTCCAGAGAAGGTTTCCGATGCAGAAATAAAGAAGTATGCATCACCGGAGGTTTTGGAGAGGTAAATCATTCGCTTCTACTTCAATCTTCACCATATTAACTAATGTATCCACCAGAAACGGAAGAAGATTATTGAATATTTCTCTTCAGCATCTCCCAAACTTTACCTTTTGCCTTAGTCTTACCTGCGAATCAGGTCAAATACACTCAAAACCAGATGATCCAATGATGACATGCACTACATGTGGTTTCAAGACATGCTTCATTCACAAACTACCATGGCACGGAGATCTCACATGTGCAGAATTCGACATCTCTAATCAAGCTAGAGTTCGACAAGAAGCAGCCTCTGAAGCATGGATTGCAGAGCATACAAAACTTTGTCCAAATCCAAAATGTGGAATGAGAATCCAAAAGAAATCTGGCTGCGATCATTTGACTTGTGAGTGTATGTTGTATGAATTTTATTGTACTCTTGTTATACCTTATAATGTCATATGCTGACTGAGAGATTTGATTAATCAACAGGTGATTATTGCCTCGTCGAATTTTGTGGGTGCTGTTTTGCCGATTCCAAACTGATAAAGAAACGAGGTAATGATCATCATAAGGAAGACTGTCGGTGGCATACGAAGAATGAAAACGGTATGCCTGGACATGATAGAAGACGTGGATCTGCTCCTAAGAAGTCGAAGAAACCTATAAAATCAGAAGATTCCAAAAAATCGGATGCGGGACCGGCACCGAAAGAACCCAATATTTCGGAGGATCCGAAAGAAATAAAGGAAGTGAATTTTCAAGAAGAATCGGAATCAACATAGAATCCGACTATTCCAAAGGGTTTGAAACAGTCACATTCACCAGTCAAGCCATCTGAGGCAGCGGATGGAATGCAACTATCGAAGTCAAAAGTTTCAGATGATCTTAAGCATTCATTTGAACCAAATGTTACAGAAGATTCGAAGAGACCCAATCAACCTCAAGAACCAGTTGAGCCTTCCAAACAAACGGAATCGACAGAAGCATTAGGATTGAACATTCCGAATCCACTCAAACGACTTCGAGAGGAGTAAGCTATTATCATGTGTGTTTCTACACACGTCTACAATTTGCAAGTGCGATGTTATTCCGAAACCAAAACTGCTGCATGATCGTCTTTCGTTGGGTTTCGTTGATATTTTTTTAACAACGGCAGAGATGATGCATATCATTACCACCATAACTGATGGAATTTCTTCGGTGGGTTTAAATAGCTTCCAGAGTAGCGGGAGAGACGATGCATATTATTATCACTATCATGAACGATGGCTCTTTTCAGTGAGTTTCGCCAAGAGCTTACAATACGGGTAGATATAATGCATATCATTGCTACCGTCTTTCGAGGCTGTGTTGATATGAGGTGACTTTAAACACCCCTGACAAAGACTGTGGCGACAACGGGATCTCAAGGCCTACTTGGCAATCGAAGAACGCACTTCCAGCCTTTTCCGACTTTCAATTTCATTTCGAAAGGATGAAATAAGGCATAGTCCAAGCTTTTTAAATTATGCAATAAAAATTCATCAAGCAGGTAATGTATTTATCCAATCTTTTTCACCATGAAGTTCACACGTCTCTCCATCCCAAGAAAGTAAGAAGAATATCGGCACAATAATCCGAGAAAGAAACTCAACTCTCTTTCCATAAGTAGTGAAGAACCATCGAATGATTACTGAATCTCTGGTTTAGTCTGGTCCCAGGGGCTTGGACATGATAATTCGCTTCGTGACGAGACAACGTCGCACTAGTGAGATCCGTGCGTGTTTCTACTTCCTTTGTGAACCTTGACCCCGAAACTTCATACATCCATTGTGAATTCATTGTGCATGAGGAGAAAAGAAATGTGGATTGGGAACTGGTTGGGGATTAAGGTTTGTAATAGGCTAAAACTTGAGTTGGGGTTTGTTTGTAAAGATTTTGAATATTTGTTTGCTTAGATTTTGTCAATTTGAGCGATTGAAATTTTACTTCTAATGAAGTCTTCTCTTTAGCGCCCACAACAAGCTCTCGATGATATTTCCTTCGATAATCATAAACAACAGGCTTGATAAAGGATACAATCGGATCACAATAACATGAATTAGTTCTTCATCAGATTCTACCCCGAGTCCCGATTGGACGATATTCCCAAACACTTCGCGCACAGACTAGTGGTAACCAAGATGCGAAGTTCTCACATCACCATTGCATTTTTGCATTTTTGCGACCATTTGACAAGGCAAATTCTGTGAATACCGTTGGTATGAAACGCGCGATCTAGCCTAAGAATGATCGCGGGTAGGAAACCCAACCGTGTACGTTATGCACGTCGAAAGAATTACTCGTAGGTGTGGACGTTGCACGCGGCCTCAACTACTGTATGCTTTGTCCTCCCCCCGCGATTTCTGTCACTTTGGTTGATGTGGTTGTAATCTTTTGATGTATGGTATACATGTTAATGGAGTATTGAAATCGAGAACTGCGGGACAGAAAAAAGGAATTAATGAGTGGATTAGATTAGATGGATTGGAATGGTGCTGGTCACATATGTAGTTGAATTTTTAGTATACCAAGGTAAGATCTCATTCCTATTCTACACTCACGTCAGGATGTTGGAGTATTAAAACTGATTGACAATTCAGACTACTCGAGGACGTCATGCACCTTACTCAATTTTCCCTCTTAGTCTTCGCGACAGGAACAGGACTATGCAATGCTTCTCTTCTTCGTCGAACCCCACAGCCCGCACCAATATCTACTGCTTCAACAACTCTTCAAACCGTCACATCATCACCTACTTCTCCAACTCAACCCGAAGTTACAACGCCACCAGGCCTTAAACTCGCTCAAATCGCAGGCATTCTCACAATCCTTCCAGAATGCAATCGCTATATTCTTTCAGCCTCCAGCGCTGTTTCCAGCGCTGTCTCCTCAAACGTTGCATCCAACGTATCCGACCAACTAACATTTCTTAGCACAGCCGCTGCAGCCAGTATTTCCATGGCACAAGCTAGCATCTCCGCCGCTGATGCCAGCGCTTCTAGTGCCATTGCCATAGTTCAATCATCCGCCTCGGCAGCATTGGCAAGCGCGAGTTCGGAAGTGATAAACGCCCAAGCAAGCGCCAGCTCAGAGCTCGCAGCAGTATCGGCATCTCTTATTTCTGCGGCCGCTCTGGCAACATATAGTGCTCAAGCAGCGGCATTAGCTAAAGGTGCTGCGGCGACGGAGAGTGCGTGGGCTATTTCCAGTCAATTGGCTGATGCAACGTCGGCGGTACAATTCTCGAAGGCGACAACTTTGCCAATGACAGTCGCAGTCGTGTTGATTCTTGGAACGAGTTTTGCGAGTAGTGTTATTAGTGTTTTGGTTTATCGATTTATTTCCAAGAGGAGGATAAAGCGGGAAAAGGAAAACGAGAACGATATGAGAGATGCACAGAATAGGAGTGGGAATGGATACTATGGTGCTGGTGGAATGGAAAAGGGACCAAGAAGTTATAGAGCTCCACATCCGGGGACGTCATACAATTATCCCGCTACTCAACACTCCTCAGTTTCAACCTCACCCCCAAACGAGAAATATATTTCACGATATACCCCTAACCCGGAAGAAGAAGTTATCAACAGAGATTATGTAGAAGGAAACTACGAAAGAGGTAATGAAGATAATTATTCTACACACGATATCATCGACATTGAAAAGGAAATCGCAGAAATGGATTACCAGATGAGAATGGCCGAAGCGGAATTAGAGCGAAGAGACAGAGAACGATCTTTTAGAGCGAGTGAGAGTGGATTAAGCAGGAGTAGTAAGAGTATCAGCGTTCTATTTACTCCCAGAGACTTGCCTCAGAAGGCGGGAGAAAGGAGAGGAAGTGGCGCGAGGAGTATTATGAGTATGGGAATCGGTGAAAGATTGAGAAGCATGATGCCTTCTTATCGACAATCTCAGGCATCTTCTTCTTACGAATCGAAAGAATTCTCAAAAGATAGCACACGAAATTCGACCGAAAGAGATCTAGAGGAAGGAGAAGAAATTATTTTCACGTTGGATGAAAGACCCCCGCCGTTACCGAAATCAAACCCGGCGGCGGTAACGAGACCAACGCATACGTATACGAATAGTGATATGAGCATTATGACGCTGAGTCCGAGTGTTTATGATGGTGGTGCGAGTAAGGGGGGTTCGAAGCGGGGCAAAGAGAAAGGGAAGGGTCCTTTTGGATTTTCGATTGGGACGGCTTATTGATTGAGCGTCTCGCAGTACAATGAGCAAAGATACTTTGTAGTTTTATTAGATATTTTATTTCTTTTTTGGGTTGGGTTGGTGGTTAGGGAGGAAGTAGGGGTTAGGAAAAAGAGGGCAGGATACCAGAGATTTTGAAAGACTGTTTATTTTGTTTTTTAGGTCATTGTATATGAATAATGAATAGAAATTTTAGGGTATAGATTACCTACTCAAGAACATCGGTTTCCAACAGTGATTTCATTAAAATGGTGATTTTGATTTCTAAAATGCTGTTCTCTTTCGAACATATGAAGTCTCAGAAAGCAACACCTATTGAGCTCGAACCACCCAGGGTGTTTGGCTGAGCAGCAAGTTCAATACTTATTTCTGGCTGTGTAGATAATTCAAAAAGTCCCCGACAATGAGGAATATCTTGTTTTGATCTAGAAGATCGTGGACAGTTGCTTCGTCGAAAAGAACTCTGGAGAGAACACTGGATGTCCGCAGAGAACAAAGCCCCAAGCGAATTCTCGAGATCACATATATCTAAGTCTTCTGTGAAGCTGCACAGTAGCATTTTGTTCAAAGCCGACATAATTCTCGAGGTGCCTTTGTCCTGCGCCGAATGCGGGATCCATTTAGTATCAGTGATTCTCGGTTACTTCAATTATTTAAAACTGTTCAAGTTGAGATGAGATTTGTATTACTTGACATAGATAATTAGAACAGCTGCTGTCAATCGTCATGAGATGTGGTGTGAGGGATGAAAAACGAGAAGCTTTTGCGTTGTGAAATATTGGATGGAGATCTTGTCTGTTGGTTAAAAAGATACTGGCCGCCTATATTTTCATTTTTGTTGTCGATTTGCTAGTGTATTTTGGTACTGCTATATTTTAACACTTGCGAGCCAATTACTAGTTGCTCGATATTTCTTTTCAGATGATTATTTTAAGTATCAAGTAAAGATGACGTGTCTACTATATCGAAATCGTTAACAGTGATGATTACCGTGTATTTTGAACATCATCCGAACCAATATTCCAATGTCTCTTATTGCCGTTCCAACTCGGTTGGTGGTGTTGTTCTCACAAAACCTACACGAACTCCTGAGATGAGAAGTTGTATCATCACATAATTTCATAAAGCCAAGGCTACCATGATCAACCAATTTGGTGCTTATTGATATCACTATGCTCATATGATACAGACTTGCACCACCACTCGCAGCACGTGAAGAGTTAAGTGGTATGTTGCACTTCTTGTCTTGGCTGGAAGCTTTTATCATGCTTGCGCTGGCTTTCTAGCTCGGAAGATACGCTGATGGCACTTGCCACTTTTAGTGATTCACTATCAAGTCCCCGAAGATCGAATCATGCACTTAGGTGGAGCATGCTTTGACCGTTGAGGCTAGGGCATTTATCCTTTGGTTTTAGCTCCGGGAATTCCCATATAAACTTCGGGTGTAGATTGTTTGTTCATAATTGCGAACGATTGTCCATTTGCAAACTCTAAAAAGGATGACACTATCTAACCACTGGTGCGTGGATGAGATGGCGTGATTTGGCGCGGCATGAATAAACGGGAAAGCACGCCGTGTTTGACCTTCACCCCGTTGTTCTCAGAATCATACTCTCTGGATCAACTGAGAGAGTTTCGTAGAGTGACAACAAAAACAATAGGGTTGATAGTAGAGTTATGGGATGATAACAAGTACACTTGCCATTATCACTTCACAGCCAATCTCCAAACAAAACTATAGGCGTTTAATAATTTCTTATACATGCGCTGTAGGCGGGCTGAATACACAATCTAGCCTGGTAACCGAATAGATTTGCATCATGTACGACATTTTGCTTAATGGTAGCTCACATTTCCACGTGGTATATTTAGGTGGAATTCCTTTGATCGGGGCCTCTCAAGATACGATTCACTAAGTGACAGAAGAACAGACACGTAGTGTATGCGGAGTTACCACCTAAATAAGTGAGACCACGTTGCCCTACTAGAGCGTATGAGCTTTCTCGCTTGCGTAAAAGATTTGTAGAAGAACAGCATAAATACTTCTTGTCCTTCAACCCAGAACTTAAGAAAGAACCCATACAGAGGCATCAAAGAGCAATGGGAAAGGATCAGAGTCACTTCACAGCAGTTTTTCATCTCCAAATTTGAAAGTTCGGTAAGCACCACTTCGGGAGAGAATGATCAAGAGATCACACGCTGGGAAATACGAGCATTGTCAAATTGCAACTTTTGTCACTATACTTATCATTATTATCAAACGAATAATAGAATCTTGTTGTCGTTTTCTAAATACAGCATCGTATAAGAGCTCATTTGGGCATCGGATAGTACCATCTCAGGAATCGGAAGGTGCAGTTTGAAGAACGAAGAAGGACTACCAGACCCTCGAGCCCTGGGCACACCCATATTTAGAGTTGCTGAGAAGCGGTTGAAGTGATTGTCTCAATCAGTTACAAGATCAACGTCTCTTAAATATCGACAGATAGGAAAAAATCTCGATGTGCTGCATGGATGAGTAGTGAATTGATTCATGGATAGATACCACAGGAGCTGTTGTTTGTTATTTGTCATGTTTGGGGATCAATCATGATCTCCTTAGGAACAGGGCAGGGAATCTTTCCAACCACTTAATGCATTAGAAGAAACCATTCGTACCTACATAGGTACTCGAAGAAAAGAATGCTGTCCAAATGAGGTTGATTTCACAAGACACAAAGGTTATATTCTCCACCCCCACAATGCTGAGGCGAGGGGTAAGTTCTTATCCGAGACCCATTTTTATTCTCCGCAATCAACCTCCGTGCAAATCCTCCACCAAAATACACAAACCTCAAGCAGTAGAAACACAAGTCACTACAGTCGGCATAGTATTCCGAGCTTCAAGAATGGATGAAAGCAACTCCGTTGAATAGCGTAGGTTAAGTAATCTGTATTTCTTTTCTCCATATATCTCATTTCCACTTCATGCTCACCATCATACAAACAAATAAACAACTGCAAACCATCAATTGAAACCTCCTATCAAATACCACCAAAATGGCTGTCAAAAAGATCCTCCTCCTCAACGGTCCAAACCTCAACCTCCTCGGGACTCGTGAGCCCCACATCTATGGTTATGACACCCTCGCCTCCATCGAATCTTCTCTCACCACCTATCTCTCCTCTCTAACACCCTCCGTCACTCTTCTATCCTTCCAAACTAATTGGGAAGGTGCGCTCATCGATCGTATTCACGAAGCGCGTACTGACGGCACCGATGCTATTGTTATAAATCCTGGTGCTTTCACACACTATAGCATAGCGCTGCGAGATGCATTAGCTGGTGTTGATATTCCATTTGTGGAGGTGCATATTAGTAATGTGCACAAGAGGGAGGAATTTCGTCATAAGAGTTTCTTGAGTGATAAGGCGGAAGCTGTTATTTGTGGGTTGGGCGTTTATGGCTACAGAGCAGCGGTGGAGTGGTGTGTAGGGTGTTTGAAGGAGAAGCCAAAAGCGTGAGGGGGGGACGATTAAAATTGGATGCGGAAGAGCATGATATCAAGTGTATATTTGAATATGTGGGATGCCAAATAACGAAATATTAAAGAACATTGCAATCAGTTGATGGAGACGAGTTGAATCAACTTCCGAGTGGTAGTTATTGTCAGAGAGACCTTCAGCTTTCCCGGGAATTTCGGGTTTCCAAGCCAAGTATAAAATCCGATTTCTGGAGAGCCCTCTCAAATTTTAATGAAGGTTGTCAACAATTCGACCTATGTATTTGCTAATGGAGAGCGGGTAAGTCTGTTTTGGGCTAAAATTAGTAGCATGTGGTATGCGTCAGGTATCAATTCCCGAAGTCTAAAATCCATGGTCTTTCTATGCAACATATGTCATTTTCTTTGTCAAGCTTCATATCCGCATAGTGATGTATCCTCAGTACAATGGTGGAATTTTCACAATGACAACAAGAGTCACAACGGCCATTTCGAAGTAAGTGTATAGGCCCGACCTCGGATTTGGCTTGTAGCTTTATCATCCTATCAATTTCAACCCTCCAGGAAGTATGTTCCTAGAGGAAAAGACCCTACCAAAGTTATAGCTCATGCTCTCACATCCTCGAAGACTTTTAGACCTCTGAAATAGTGCGGGCACTAGTACCGGCATATAATCGCCATGCCGACAAACAGTATGTCATCCTGTAACTAGTGAGACTTCAATTCGCAGATGTTATATACTATGATTAATCTCATTCTCTCCTAGATAAGGATCAAAGTTGATGTTATCTCCACCACCAGTGGAACCATTAATAAACTTATCGAAGTCGAAGTCGGTAGAAACATCCAAATATCCATTGCTGGAATTGTTGAACTCCACCTCACCAAACTATTCAAATATTAGTAGTGAAACTCAAAATAAATTATATGTGATGAGCATACCGGTTGATCATCCACTGGGAGTGCGTTCATAAAAAGGGGCTCTGGCTTGGGCGCAAGGATTTCTGCAAGGCTAGGCGACTCTTCTTTCATGGCAAGGGCATGATATTTCTTGTTATGTTTGTTTAGGAGCGCTCGGGTGACAAACCCTATCGTGAAATAAGCACATGAAAAATGTGCGCATTGATACCGACGGTGATGATGTGACTCGTGCTTGTCCCGTTGAGAAGAAGTTTCAAAGCCATCAATATTACGAACACAATTTACATATCGGCATATGAAAACTGAGGCGCCATAAGTCTCTCGAAGAACTTTGGTATCCATCTGGTTGATATTAGGAAACGCTGCCGGGGCATTGTTTCCCAGCAGAGACTCGATCGTTCGTTGAAAATGGTGAGCAATGGCACTTAAGTGAGTTGGATCCATTTCACATAAGTCCAGTGAGATTGCTACTAAATTTTAGACAACATATCGAACTTTGAGAGTGCACTTACTTTCTGGAGATTTGTCCAAAGCAGCCTCCAAGTGCAACTTCGATCGGGCTTCGAACCCAAGAATATCCAGCATCAACTTTCTAATTTCAGGCAAATGACTCAAACCTTGCAAACTTTGATTTTCGGTGATAGTTCCAATCTTTTCTTGTGTGTCTTTCAATGGGGGATGGCTTCTTTCCTATAGCGCAACAAAGATTGCAGTTGATCTAGAAGCTCTGTAGAGAGTTGAGCAACGGACTCAGTTTATTCTTATACCAGATTACTTCTTTTACTTCCTCCACTATATAACCGATACGGAAACGATCGAATCAATAAGCAATCAACCTTACTACAATATTTATTTTTCCAGCTGCTCATTTCTGTCGTATTTTCTTTAATTTACGAGCAGCATACCTATAGACAAAGCAAAATTTTCAATCTTGACGATGTCTTACGAAGAACGGCCAGCCAAGCGTATGCGGATCAACAATACTGGTAACCATGAAAGCGAGATCACAGAAGATGAGGTGTTCTACTCGCCTGCCTTTGAAAGTGCAAATGCCCTGGGAATGGTTGGACGGGAAGTATATGAATGCTGTTATGGGATGGTAAACAAGATTTGAACATCTCTAAAACCCTTTCAAAAATTAACAATAGAATAAATAGTTAAGCGACATCGCCGTAAAGAAACTATGCAGTTCAGAGACGCATTCAAGCCCTATACGTGTCGAATTTCGTAGTCCTAATCGTCTTTCCTCGGGTGATGATCATCACTCAACTACCTTCGACATATCAGGATTTGCATCGGCACAAATCCTCAATGACTTGGCAAGTGTTCCAGAAATTAAAACGCAGTTATACTGCCATTCAAAGATTGAATTTGACCATGGCGGACCCAGTCGACGGATGATCAAACGTTCTGGAAAATTGCTTGGACTGTGGTTTTTGAACGTAATCATCTTTGGTCCACATCGTTTTGTTGAAAAGATAGGGGAATACTTATCAATCAGAAAGATGTATCTTCAAGATACACTCGGTTGTGAACGGTGCGTCCCGTACCGTAATCCCCATGCTATGACCCCCGACACGGAGGAAGTTGTGATGACAGATTTATCTATCTTGGCTCCCGGATATCACGATGTAGAGGAATTAAAATCCGGACCAGATCTTCTAGCGCAGTTGATGGAAGGAGAGGCTCCTTTGAGAGAGACTGAGGCACCCAAAATTGTGAAGGCCTCCTTATTCAGGTAAATAACTAGCACATTCATAAGGGCATCGTCTACAGGGACTTATGGTATCTTCATTATAGGCATCAAAAGCAAGCTTTGACTTTCATGCAGCGTCGCGAGGAAGGTTGGAATTTTGATGATGCAGTTTCTGACATATGGAGTTGGCGGAGTGATACTTCGGGGTGATTAAAGTACACCCCCTCATTCTTCTAATCAATTTCTGTGTTGGCTGAGACTATTAGTTACGTAAACAATGTGACCGGATACAGCACCTGTGAAGCTCCTCCAGAATCCGAGGTGGCCTACTAGCGGATGATTTGGGATTGGGCAAGACACTCACCATGATATATTTAATAGCTTCAAACCAAGCTTGCCTAAATTATGAATTACCGCAAGCTCATCCTCGTTCTTCTGAATTGGGGCTTTCGAGTATGTCAAAGGCTACACTACTTATTGTTCCTCCAGCATGTATGTTCCAGTCCATGGCAAAGAAGCTCATTGTTCAATTCTAACGCAAGAATAATGATACAAGTACGGGAGCATCAGTTCCGATTGTAAGTCTCCGCATATTTCTCTCAAATCGAAGTTGCATGGCATGCGTCTTCGCACTCGTGCTAGATTTCTGCGGTATCAAAATATCTAGACATCTCGTACCGCAAGCACTAACATGCCATATCTACCATGGCAGCAACAAAAAAAGCATAGATTTTCTCAGGCAGTTCGATGTTGTTATCACTACATACCACACTATTGCGGCTATTTGGAAGCATCACAGCGCTCATCAAGATGATGAATCTCTATATTCTTTCACTTGGCATCGCGTAGTTCTAGATGAAGGTGAGCGAAGGTGTAGTGACATAAGCTTCATGCATATATCTAACTTCTATAGCTCATATCATCAAAAATCCTCAGAGCTAGCTAGCTCGAGCTTGTTGTGCTCTCAAAGCAACAAGACGATGGGCGATAACCGGAACTCCTATTCAGAACAAACTTGTGGACTTCGCCAGCATTGTAAAGTTTCTGCGCGTTCATCTTTATTCCGATACAAGAATTTTTGTAGAAGAGATTACAAAGCCATTCAGAAATTCTTCCTCTATGGATGCTAAAGGGCTTTTACGACACAAAACACTTGTACGGGCCATTACCATCAGTCGCACGAAGGCAGTCATTGAACTTCCATCACGTGTTGACGAGATTCACCATCTCAATTTTACCTCGGCTGAGCGAGAGAAGTATGAGGCTGAGAAATTGCGAGCGAGAGTGGAGAGATCAATCTCTTCTGGGAATCAGAATGGAAAAACATTCAATGCGCTGGCACTACTCAACCGCTTACGTCTGATCTGCAACCACGGCCTATTGCAGCTTACACCTACTAAAGATCATATGGTGTCTCAAGGAAGTGAAGTTATTTCTTGCTCCATGTGCGGCGACTATCTACAGGAAGAGGTCTTTGGTGGCCCTTTTCCTCCCGGCATTGATATTCAACGTCAACCATTATGCGAACAATGTATTCTTCAAGAAGGAGACAACTGTGACCGATCGCCGAGTAACAGTTTGAACTTCACAAATACAGCAGAAGATTTGAGATCTGTAACACCACCAACAGTTACAGATATTGCATTTTCTATCCAGCACATGTCGACAAAAATCAATGCTCTTCTAGCAGATCTCCGTAAATACAAGAGTGCCGAAAAAAGGTTGATACATTCCAATAAGACCAAAAAGTATCTCAGAAACTAATGTGTGATAGTGTTGTGTTTTCATACTGGACTAACACGCTTGATCTTGTGCAAATGATGCTGGAGAATCAAGGAATACACTACACAAGGATTGATGGGACAATGTCTCTGTCCAAAAGAAATGAGGCTTTGGGTGCTTTCAAGAACAAAGATACTGTTCGCGTAATTTTTGTCTCAATCACTTGTGGTGGTGCAGGGTGAGTTATATCTATTGCAAGTGTTGGTGTTTAGCCACTAATGGGTATGAGCAGGCTCGATCTTACCACTGGGTTGAGAGCATATCTTCTCGAACCACATTGGGGCCCCATGATTGAAGAACAAGCTCTCTGTCGTGTACATCGAATTAGTCAGAAGCGTAATGTTACTACCATCAGATATTTGATGCATGATTCGTTCGAAGAGGTACGCTCGCCCAATTTTTGTCTTCCATTGAGACGGGATTTGATGAGAGCTCTTGATAAAGCTTATGATATTCTAACAGCTTACAGCAAATTGTGGATCTTCAAAAGAGAAAGAAGATGCTTGCAGATGTTACGTTTAGTCAAAATTGTATCTCAGAGGCTGGCGTCGATATGAGTATTTTACAAGTATGTTTCCCCATTGAACTTTCATATCTCGTTTGTAATTCTGACATATATCCAGTACTTGAGATCTGTTCTTGAGTAATATCATAAGATAGGTCTGAGATTATCGTTCAGTTATATAATCGCACCTTATAAGATGTTACTATTTAGGAAGAGCCAAATTCATAATATTGGACTGCAGGTTCGCTATTGTCAAGTCAGGATATTCTCCCCGCCGGCTTAAATTATGTTCCTCCGCCAGTAAATTGAGGTATATACTCGGTGTGACTGGAAAAGATACTAGAAATAGTGAGAAAGGGGTAGAATATGAAGAAATAAAAGCACTCGAATCGCACATATAGATGGGTAGAGGAGTAGTTGGAGGGGAAGCTGGAGTTGTACGGCTGAGCTCGAGTTGTGGATGATGCCTTTCGATAGATTTCTGGTAGCAATGTATTAAGTGCTAGCGATATATCGATATGTATTGATAGCAGTATTTACACTCATCAATACAAGTAAAAGTAGAAATGGTATGAAATATCAGTAGATATTGAAGTTTCTGACAATGAAACAAATTTCCCGTAAAACCAAAAGTTGAGTAAGAGTGCACTCACGCTCTCAACTTTCAAGAGCAAGTCCGATACAAAGTGTCACTTCCTTAGTATTCAAAAGCTTAGACATATAGATTCCCTAGCTTGTCGTTGACGCTTCTTTGTTTACGTACAGCTGTCGACGCCCTAGAGAAAGTCATGTCATGCTTTTATATATGTGTACTACGTCTCCTAGTTTGGGACAAGCGAAGGTGCTCAGGGGTATGTGGATATTTGAGATTCGATTGAATGTTGATTTTTAGATTACTTCTATGAGTATGGAAGATGATAATTAGGTGAATGAATTGTAATAAATACATACTTATGCAATTGTATTGTTTTATGTAATAGCTCAATGAATAAAGATGATTCTCCAAGAGGATTAGGATTTATCTGGAAATTTTCATTCTAGTCAAATGTAGTATTTGCGGAGACGTAGGCCATATGTCTCTGGGGAGCCACATTATACATGATTTATTTGACGAGTGTAATGAGAGAAAAATCCACGAATAGCCTTGATGGGAAATCGTTTGATAGTGAATGATTACAGTAAAAACATCAGACCAGTTTTATTACTCTTCTCGTGGTCTAGGTCAAATGCGTATGAAACGTATCAGATACCCCAGTCTGCTTAGTCGAGGTGGAGGTAGAATGCATGATGACGAGGACGACGACGGAAAAGACGGGGAAGAATGGAGAGAGTGGAGAACACAATGGGAGAATGGGAAGAAGATATAGGTGTGTGAGGTAGTGAGATATAATAATGCAGCGGAACAAGAGCGGATATTGAATGGAGACATAACTTAACCCTTCAAAGTGTTCCTATATACAATAAGTACTTGTGTACCTCAGCCCTCTTCGCCAATGACGATATCCCCAGATAGCCATGGTGATTGACACCTAAGCATCCATCCAAAACCATTCACTCATTCCAGCCCCGAATTCACCCTTCTTACGAAAACTTCCAAAGGAGAATCATCCAATTCTTTCCTCCGTTTGCAATTCCAAATACGAAGTCCGTATCTAAAGTTCACTCCTTCCCAAAGCAGCCATCCAAGCGATAAGTAAGTTTTTTTGCGGAGTTGGGGGAATTATTATCACCGAAAACGAACAGAACGAATCCCACGCACGATAAGAATGTATGTAGGTATGTGTATATGTATGTATGTATGTGTATGTATGTATGTGATGGAATGCAACTTAATAATTCCATTTCGATCCAATCCAACGCCAACAATTGATTTTTTTTTAATGCAATTATGTATATACGAGTACGTACTAACTTATGTGATAACTTTAAAGATTATATACATTTACTAACTAATAGTACATACATATATACATGTTACATGCGTCTTGGAAATATAAATATTATATCCAAGTATTTTTCTACCTACTTAATATACAACAACCTCATTCTTCCTCTTCTTACAATCTGCTTGATATTAAATTAATTTCATGATTATATGAATCAAATGAAACAAAGCACAAAACATCTCCATCCATACATAACAGTAACACCCGAAAAATGACCCCTTTACCTTTACCTCTTCTACCTTTACCCCAAAGACAAGCCCAAGCTTCACACCTCCCATCATCTCCACTGCGTCATTTCAGCCTCAATCTGGTCTTAGCAAAAGATTCCATTCTGATAAATAGTTATCAACCACCATCACGTAAATCAAGACTAAGACGACTACCGTTGAATTTAGTGCGTCTACCCATTTTAGAGGAATTGGATGGGATGAGTACACTTTTGGGTGAGTTTGGCTTCTCGTTTTGATTGGAGAAGATGGAGGGCTTTTATGATGTGATGTGAATTATTCGAGGCGGAAATATCTTGAAAGGGAAAGAAATCAGTGAGAAGAAAGGCTGGATTGATGATTGATTGATTGATTGATGATTTGATTGTGGAATGCTTTTCTTGGGATTGATTTGCTGATTATGGTTGGTTTTACCAAACGATTAGTCTCAAAGGCTAGAAAGGTATGTGTTCAGTTGTTTTGTTTCGTTTGCTTCGATTTGATTTGAAGATGGATAACGGGTTATGGATGGGCGAATGGCGGATGGTAAATGGCAAATGCTAGATAAGGGAGAGAGCGAGGGAAAATATACATCCTTTGAAAGCTGCGCAGGTGGGCAGATGAAGATTCAATCGACGAGGGAAAAGGAGAGGAAGATGGAAACGAAGATATAGAGATAAATCATCCATCCATACATGCATATACACTAACAATCATCTCTCCAGCCAAAATTTGATTTAGTCCTCCGAGTAAGTTCTCCTTCCAAAGATTCCAACACATTCACACCTCTTTATTCCCAACCCAAACTGACCTCCCCTCCTTCAGTTAATAGATCTCAACAACGTCCCTTTAACCAGTGGAACCGCATACATAAAATGGCACATCTCTTCCTCTGTTGCCTCCGAGCATTCAGGACAAACACCTCGCTCCCCCATTAAAGAACACAAAGTCCATTGGGATTACACTCGATCCATCCCTGTCCGTCTCACAATCGATAAATCCAACCATCTCTCCGAATGTCTTATCCATTTCGAAGTCATCCAAGACTATAATTCTGGAGCTACCTCGAAAGGAGAACGGGTCACTCTAGGACATATCACGTTGAATTTGGCGGAATATGTAGAAGAGAGTGAAGTTGAGGGCGAAGAGGGAGTGGTGAGGAGATATTTAATGCAGGATAGTAAGATCAATAGTACGGCCAAGATTGGGATTAGTATGCGACACGTAGAAGGGGAGAGAAATTTCGTAGCGCCAACATTGAAGAGTGCGCCTGTTTTTGGAGGGATCGCGGGGATCATGAAGGGCGAGACGGGGGATAATGGTGATGATATTGGTAGTGAGTTTATATCCTTTTCTTCATCCTTCCATCTGTCTCACGATGCGCAAATCCGACCCGGGATGCAATATTAATTCTTCTATGAAGATATGCCACAACTTCAGAAATCCTCCGATAAATCCGATCTTCACGATATGTATCGACGCGCCCTCGCTGCCTCTTGGACTTGTTCCCCTGCCGAGATGCCCGCGGATGAATGTGTCGAAGATATATTCGCCGGAGGAGATGGCTGGAAACGCGATCCGGATTCTTCCAATTTCGATCACAATGAGTACAGTCGAGATCTACGAGATACACCTCGAATAGTACAAGATGATAGGGAATTAAGCGCAAGTGGGGGAAGCGGAGAGGATTTGAGAAGACACAGGAGAAGTCATAGTGATGCGAGCCAGAAGAGTAATCTAACCACATCATCTTCTGTTCCTGGAGGTGGAAAAATGGGAAGAGCAGATGGGAGAGGTCATCGATATAAACGAAGTACCGACACAACACGCAGTGGGGTTTCATCAAGTGGAGGTAGGAGCGTGAGTGCTCAATCTGGACTCTCGAGTATGGGGGATAGGGATGATGAGATTTCGATCATGGGGAGTGGAGAGAGAGGAAGACAGGGGAGAGGTCTGGGCCATATTCCGGGGAACCATCATGGGTATGTGAGGCCGAGGGAAGTGGATGAGTTTGATATGAGAGAGGATTTGGTGGCATGGAAATTACCCGGGGAGGTTTCTTAGATAGATATGGATATGAAGGGGAAGGGGGGCTTGTGTATAGATAGATGGTAGATTGGACTGGGTTGTATATTGGATGGCGAAAAAAAAATAGGCTGGCTTCCGTTTGGGCTTGCGTATATATGGAGTTTATGGGATTTCTGGCTGGGGTATAGCTAAGAAACATTGGAGAAGCATAACATCATGGATGGATGGATGGGCGGATGGATGGACGAAGGAACCACGGAAAAATAGATTGGTTGGTTGGTTTTTATTATAGATTTTTAATTGCTCTAATTTCAACGCTCTATTTTCTTCTCGGCTATATATATTTCTGTTCATGTACCTTTGTCAGGCAGAAATTATGTATTGATCTTGATTGATGTAGGTACCTAGGTATATCAAACTCCTAAACGCCTCGCTTCGCTTCTTCTTTTCTTCTTGTCTTCTCATCCATATCTTCTAGCTTACAGCTCTTTCATTTTTGAGATGTATAGTTTGCAAATATGCCATGTCCATATGCTAGATAGGGCATGAAATAGGGCTGAGAAGATATATGCCCTCAAAGTGATATGTTTGACTCTTGATAGGATAGAGTCATCAGACCAATTGTGAAGTAGGTTCTGTTTAACATCCATATCCATATCCACGAATATTAAGATCCACTTCATCCAAAGAACCAAACTTTTGCCATACACCACCCAAGTCCCTCTCCCTCATCAACACTCCCACAAACACTCAATACCCCTACACCTCCCCACCCACCCCCTCCTCCCCCTCCAAAACCCTCCCCCTCAAAATCCTCACCTCCTCCACCGGTCTATCCTCCGCCCCCGTCTTCACAAGCCCCATCCTCTTCACCGTCCCCATCCCCCTCGTCACCCGTCCAAAAATCGTATGTTTCCCATCCAACCACGGCGTCGGCGCCAACGTAATAAAAAACTGCGATCCATTTGTATTCGGGCCCGAATTCGCCATCGATAATATCCCCGCTCCCGTGTGTTTTAACACTGGGAGATTTGACCCTGAGGGGGGGACAGTTCGTCTTCGAACTTTTCTCCGTAGATGGATGTTCCGCCGCGTCCGGTACCAGTGGGATCACCAGTTTGCAACATGAAGTTGGGGATTATCCGGTGGAAGATGATGCTATCGTAGTAGCCGCGGCGAATGAGTGTCTCAAAGTTGGTGCAGGTTTTGGGGGCGTGAGAGGTGTAGAGCTCGAGGGTTATGGTGCCCTAGAGAGGAGAGGGTGTTAGGATGGTTTGATTGATGCTTTGCTGGCTCTTTGGAGGGTTTGGGGGAATTGGAGGCGGAACTATTCTGAGAACTCTCTATAGCTGTTTGTCATATGAATGACGCTCCCCTGGCCCTCTGGGGGCTTCAGGGTTGGTAGGTGGGGGAAGTGGAGGGAGAAACTATGCTCAGAACTCTCTATAGCTGTCTGGTGTATGCATGACGCTCCGCTGGCCCTCCGGGGGCCACTGCCGTGGAGGCAGAATATCAAGGGAATGGAAGTAATTGGGAAATTTGTACATACCATCGTGGTTTCTAGGGCGATATTTACGGCCATTTTGGGTGTTTGGATATTTACAATAAATCGAATATGGTCAATTGATAATATAGAAACTATAAAGTAAATTCAGAGTGAAGAAAGAGTATCGTGTTAAAGATTCGAGAAGGCTTCAATTTATTGTTTACTTTCTGCAAGGCTGAAAGAAAGTTTATCGCCCACCAGTGGCCTTGCCAAATCCCTGCTGTTTGTTTGTTCCTCTGGGAAGGACAACATCCATAACCAACTTCATGTCCTATTTTGTGATTTCCTAGCTGAAATTCAAAGACCACATTCACTTCAAACCAAATTTGATATTTCTGAGAGTGAAAGAATTTAGCTGGCTAAAAACAAAAGGATCTAAAATTTAAAGTTACCACAATGAACTAACTGGTTTCAACTGTGAAAATACTCTCAATACCTCACTACTTAACTTCCAACCTGTCAATCCCATAGTGGTCACGATTTACTCCATACCAACACCAAACAATCCAACCACAAAAAATGGACAACGTCAAAGATCTGCTAGCCAAATATGGCTCTATGATCTACACGCATCGAGAGATGATTAAATTAGAAATTCATGTTATCCTCGCTGCTCTCTTCCCCATCTACATCGGATCACATGCATCACTTCAACGCCCTCCTTCCGCCTCACCACCTCGCAAATCCTCTTCTTCTAATCGTCTCCTAACTTCAGATGAAGAAGATGAAGAAGAATCCAGAGCTCAAATGGAGGGTATGACGCCTTCTGATGCTATCATCTTTCCACTTCTAGCTGCTGTGGCGTTGGGAAGTCTCTATTTTATTATTAAATGGTTGGACGATCCCGCTATTCTCAATAAGATATTGGGATGTTATTTTTCTGCTCTGGGAATTTTTGGCGTCGGGAGATTGGCAAAGGATTCATTGGATGTGGGAGTGGGATTTATATTTCCAAACGTGTGGACGAGGGGAAATAATGTTTTCCATATTGATCAGAAATCGAGACGTCAAGTTTCTGAGGATGGACAAGGGAAGTTGGTTAGTGTTGGAATTGTGAGTCCTCTTCCTGGACGACTTTCAAAGATCAATCTACCAAAAGGAGTTACGAATGCGTTGTGGGATGTTCGTGGTCTTCTGAGGACAAATTATACGCTTCATCTCCACATTAAGACTATACTTCCTCATCAAAAGTCTCCGATCAAATTCACATCGCTCCTCGGTCTCTTGATAGGTATCGCCACAATCACAGCTTATAATCTGATGAATGCACCATGGTACCTTACAAATCTAATGGGATTCGGCTTTTGCTATGGATCTCTTCAACTCATGTCCTTGACTACATTTTTCACCGGCTCATTAGTTCTCTTCGGACTCTTCTTTTACGATATCATTATGGTATTTTATACTCCTTTAATGGTCACCGTGGCTACAACTCTGGATGTTCCAATCAAGCTTGTGTTTCCAGCGGGTGAAAGTGGAAGAGGTAGTATGTTGGGATTGGGAGACATTGTTCTACCAGGAATCTTGGTTGCGCTGGCTTTAAGATTCGATTTGTATCTGCATTATTTGTATTTACAGAAACCAAACTCTTCTACCGTTTCTCCTGCCACAACCTCAAAGAAAGCACTCACAAAAGTCTCAACAACCCCCATTCCCTCATCCCAAAAGCCAGCCTACAGACCAGCAACCGGTCTCTGGGGTGAACGTTTCTGGACTGCTTCCTTCTCGCCTCTCTCTTCTTCCTCCCTCAAAACAGGCGTTGAAGGAACTCGTTTCCCAAAACCTTATTTCAAAGCCGCTCTCGCGGGGTACATCATTGGGATGCTCGTAACATTATTTGTTATGAATGTGTGGAAGCACGCACAACCAGCTCTCTTGTATCTGGTTCCTGGTGTCGTATTTAGTTTGTGGGGAACGGCGGCTGTGAGAGGAGAATTAAGAGTTATGTGGGAGTTTACTGAGGATGGGAGCTTAGAGGACGAGGGGAAGAAAGATGAGGAGGAGAAGAAAATTGAAGGAGAAAAGAAGAAAGTAGACGAGAAGAAGGACGATGAAAAAGTGAAGGAAAAGCAAATCTCAAATGGAGAAGTAACAAAGAAGGAGCAAAAACACGAAGAAATCAAAACGAAACTCGCAGAAGCGATTGGTACGCTAATGGACGATTCAGATGCGAGCTCGGTGCTATCTGATGGATCGATTTCCTGGCCTGAAGATAATGGAAATGCAAATGCGAGTGAAGCAGATGATGAATTGGTTTATAATAGGTCAGAAAAGGAAAAGCATGAGAGGATTGAGAAAACGGCGAGGAAGAGTTTGAGGGAGAAGGAGAAGAAGAGGGAGAAGGAAATGGAAGATCAGATCTTCCTCTTTTCTATTACGGGACCGGGATCAAGGGGGGCGGAGAGGAAAGGAGAGAAAACGGGGATGGATGGAGAGGGGGAGGAGAAGAAGAAAGATAGATGAGAGATTGTGGAGAGCGGGTGAGTCAGTACCAAGATCAATCAAACCGACTCGAAATGTCTAGTACTCAGAGAGCAGGAATGAAAAATACATAGGTATCCATCTTCATTACCATAGTAATCACAGCATGGAAGGGACAAGAGAGGAAAGAAGAAGAAAAAGAAGAAGAAGAAGAAGAAGAAGAAGAAGCTGTAGATGATATCGCAAAATAAATAAATGAATAGATGTACAGCTTACATATCATATTATATTGAATATTGAATCCTGAATAAGGAATAGGAAACTTCAAATGAATAATACTATTTCGCTCCGCATCTCACATCTCACATAGTGTATCTAAAAAACACGCTCGAGATATGTAGTCCCCCTCTCTATGCCCATCTCATAGATCAAAGACCAACGACAAAGAATTAGAAGTTCTAAATCGTCAAGCATTATGTGTTCATCCATTCATCCATCATCTTAGAACCACTACAGTCAGACTGACTATCAAACCCAGCACCCACATCAATACATTCATCCATTCCAACCACCATGTACTATCATCTGATTCCCCTTTCTTCTTTTTCTCTCGCTACTGGTTTTTGTCCACTCAACCCAACTCATTTCATTTCAGCTCAGCTCAGTTCTGTTGAATTCCATTCCATCCAACTCACATGTTAACTTACACACCAACTCATATATTAAATTAAATTGTATTTCTCATCCCCTACCCCCCCTTTCACAAAAACACACAAACACACAAACATACCTCAGCAGCTCGACATCCATATCAAAATAACCTCGTATGCTTCCACAGCAATGGCTCTAGAGGAGCAGTAGAGCATGGCTCGTGTAGCACCTAGCTAGAGAGTATTCAATATGATGTCTGCTTCTACCTTTCCCACCCGCCAACCCTGAAGCCACTAGAGGGCCAGCGGAGCGTCATTACGATTTTACGACTTCATTACAGGATGTTAGAAATTTGAGATTTTGGGATTCTGTGACTCCAGTATTCTAGGGTTCTAGAGCGATTTGACATATGTATCCAGTGATCATGTTGTGTGAACTGTGAACTATGTATGTATATTCGTTTTTGAATTGTGTTTGATTATATCTATTTACTCTGTAGGTATCTGTCTATCTTCTTTTCCCGATTTCTTAACCGGTTCTGTTTTGTTGATGTATCTAGATAGAATGAAATGAAATGGTAAGGCTTCTCTCCCTACCTATCTAGTATCTATTGATAAATCCACCCGCAACTCCCAAGTGTCAAATTTGCTCACTCTTTCTTTCTGTTCATCCCTCTCCAAGACCTTTCATTCCATCTCCTCTAATCTTCCGACTCCCAACTCCCGACTCCCAACTCTCAACTCTCCTTAAACCACGAATCCCATGCAATTCTAAAAAGTAAGAGACCCCCTCCAAATCATCTAAGATCCAAATGCAGCAGCAGGATAGCTTCTCTTTTTCTTTCCACCACTTCCTGAAGCTCCACTCCGACTACTACTTCTTGAACTTTCTTTACTTTGTTCATCTGCTTGTGCTCTAGGACGCAAAAACACTTCCTCTGGCAAATCATTCCATTCTCTTTCTGGTCTACGATCTTGAAAGGATGTTGTATGTTTTGATGGGGGTGGTCTTGTTGCTGTGCTCATTGGAGGAGGAGGAGGGGGTGTTGATTTCGCAGTCGCATTTTGAATTAAGTTTAATACAGGTGTTGGATTGGTCTGTGGTTGTCTAGAAATATGATCTTGAACCGAGAATCTTCGTCTGAAAACGAATGCGTCTTGTGGTCGTAAACGTCTGTAATATCCTTCGACCAATTCCCCCTTTTCGAATCCGCGCTTGGTGTACCACTCCAATGCTTCTTGATTATCGACCCAGACGTGCGCGTATAATCCTTCTATTCTGACACCAATTGGCATGCGAGAAGATGTAGCAGATTCGATGACGGAATTCAAGAGTGCGGTTGCGAGACCAAGAGTTCGGTAGGGAGAGAGTAGAGTGAGAGATTGGAGATATATACTATATGTATTTGCGGGAGGTTGGGCATACGGAGAAGATGGAGGAGAGGGATCGATTCGACAGATTATGGAGCCGATTACTTTTGGTTCGGAGTGGGAGTCTGGAGTATATGTAACTACTCTTGAGAAAGAGAGAGAGATTGGTATCGAAGGAGAAGGGGGAGAAGTAATAGCGTGGTAGAAAGCATCTGGGTATGGAATTGGGAGGAGGAGAGCATTAATACGACGTAAAGGTTGGATATGATGATCTTGCGGTGTTTCGATTTTATAACCCCGGGGAAGTTGCTGTGATGATGATGCAGATGATGATTGTAAAGAATCTGGGGTAGCGGTAGTTGCGGTGGTTACCGGTGGCAGAGGGGCATTGGTAGAGCTTGGTGGACCCGATGCAGGTTGAGGTGGAGGGATTTCTTGACCTGCATTTCCATTTCTATTCTCATGAGAGTCTGAAGTTGTGATTGGCGTTGTTCCTGGTGGTGGAGTGTATGTAGGTTGTTTGGGTTGAAAGAATGATCGAATAGTTGGCTGTTGAGGATGTGGTGGAGGAGGGGTATTGTTTGACATGCTGTCTGTTGTATTCATTGTTCAATTTACTTTGCTTGGGTATAATCTGATCTGATGTTTAAGGAGAGACAAAAATGCTTGGAGGGAGAGAGAAGGTGTGCGTGCTCTGACTGCTTGGTGTGGATTGATAAAAGAATGAATTGTATGAGAAGAGAGATCTGTCTTCTTAAGACTTTTCCTACCGGTAATTCGTAGAGTAGAGCATGAGGATATGTATTCTCCCTAGTGATGACATGTAGAAATCGACTGGAATGAAGGAATTGGATGATATCAAGGTTCAAGGATATCATTTCTACTTTGTACCTTTTTTTCATCAGCCACAGGTTTCCATTTTTATCCTTTCTATCCCTTCACTTCAAGCTGGTTATGACTCTGTACCTAGTAAATACCATACCCAGTCGAGAGTGAAGCTTGCTTACCTTAGCTCCTGGGTGGCTAAATATTAGTCATCTACAGCTGGGCCTTCACCGCCCTTACTAATCCAAGTCAAGTTAAACATGACTGGCAATAATTTCGAACATCATTGAGCTTTTGGTATGAAACCCCAAAGTCCCTAGTGCAGTACAGGAACCGGTACATACACATACAAGACCCAAGTTTCCCGAAAGTGTAAGAAAGAGGTTCAAGGGAAAACAAGTTGATTAATATCAATCAATTTTCTACCTCTGAAATATTGAAGGTATTCAGACAACGACGACACAATACTTCCCTTCTATTTTCTTCACTTCAAGTCAAGTTCAATATCAATTAGAAAATGATCGATTATTTATTTCAAATACCTTTTATCATTTTTTAAAAGAAGGAGAGACAGAAAGACAGACAGACAGGCAGACAGGCAGACAGACAGACAGAGAGAGAGAGAGAGATCTTCCAATCATTTCTTTCCATCCACAGTCCCAAACCCTCTCCCCAAGTTTCCCCCAATTTAACAATTCCGTCAGCCTTGGGGTTTTCAAGAATTTCAATTTGTTCCAAGGAAAATCATTCCACCAACTGGCAAATATATCTTCAAAATGTCTGCCAACGATCAGTTTCCTCAGTCTGGTATAATAATTGCTGGTCAAGATGAAGGAATTGATACTATGGGGAAACTTGTAATTATCCCTTCTCATTACCTTCCCTTGCCTTACTTCACCTCGCCTTTTTACAAGCAAAACTCGTTTGTTGCCTTGCTTACTTACCAATTTACTGACATTCTACAATAGACCAATTCGGTACTTGATGATATTTTCTACAATATCATTCATGATATAGTATTACAAACTCATCGTGAAGAGAAAATAGCAAAGGCATGTTCTGCTGCTATTGCCATTGAACAAAAAGTCGCAGAAACCAATCCTGATTCAATAGACGATCCCACGTCTTGGAACACAAATCAAATTATAGAAACCGACGCTGCGAAGTGGGAAAATAAAGAAGTTTTCTTGAAAGGCAATCCATTAGAATTGGTCGAGGAGATTATTTGCGCAAAGTGTGGTTTACCTCGACTTTTACAACCTACAGATGGAGTGGGAGCAAAGAAACCTCCTCCAGGAAAGGAGTTCTGCAAGAAGAAGCCTTTTATTGAGAAACCATGGCATGATGTCTATGGTCAAACTTATGTGCCAGAAGGACCAGGGAGAGGAAAGAAGAAGAAGGACATGATCAATCCTTTACTGCAACAACAGAAAGAAGGAACACCGAACAGTCAGGATGGTGAAGATGAAGGACCCGCGAAACCAATTTCTTTCCCTCACGCCAAATGTCACAATTGCAATACATTCTTACCGATTAAGCGAATGAATAATCATATGGTGAAATGTATCGGAGGTGGAGGAAGAGATTCTGCAAGAGCTGCTGCCTTCAAAATCAATGGAAATGGATTGGGTACAGGAAACAATAGTCAAAATGGTACACCACCATTAAGTCGACAAGCAACACCACAACCCAATGGAGGAAAGAGAGGTAGTCCCAATAAACGCGAAGCAGCCGATGATCCAGATTTCGAATCCGATTCTCCACAAAAGAAGAAGAAATTCTTGAAGAAACCAGGTAGCTCGGGTGGAATTATTCTGAAGAATAAACTCAAAGCTCCGAAAATGACAAAAACACCTTCACAACTTTCCTCGTCAAATCTCAGTTTCGAACACAAAAGACCGGACAGTGATGATGATAATGATTCGGGAGATGATGATCGAGATGGCGAATATGGAAGGAGAACTAGTATTGAACCGAAGAAGAAAATGCTGGTTAATAAGACGGGGGCGGGGATAGTCAAGAAAAACAAGGACGGTGGTGGTCTTGGTATTGCTGGGCTGAGCGATAAAAAGAAGAAGAAATTACTATTGGGAAGACCGGGGAGTGGTAGTTCAACACCAGTCCTGAAACCAGGTTCGTTACCAATGGATGAGGATCGAGAGAGGGAACGAAAGAAGATTAAGAATGGAAATGGGA